CAAAATCAATTAAAGATTTCAGAGATGGCGAGCAAAGGCTTACAAGCTGGGAGATTTGTAAAAATTATACACCAACAACTGGATATGCTCAAGGAGGAGAGGAATAATGTGAAAGAGGCTGCAGACGATTGTATTAACCAGGTCATTTTTTAAATAAGAATTTAGATTTCAAATAAGTGCACATACTTTAAAATCCTTAATGTTAACTTCGTGTGTTTTCGATTTTTAAGGAAAAATATTCGGACGGTTAATTGTCACACTTAGTGTTAGTGTCATCCTATCAAACTGAAACTTGGCATATAGACTCGTTGCTGATGAGAATACATTACTTCCAATTTTCTGCCCACCTTTCCACTCCTACCCCCCCCCCCCAAAAAAAAAGAAGTTTTTCCAGATGTTCAAGGACATCCTCATCCTCACCCTATGTCTCTTATCCTATCAAACTGAAACTTGGCATATAGACTCGTTGCTGATGAGAATACATTACTTCCAATTTTCTGCCCACCTTTCCCCTCCCACCCCCCCCCCCAAAAAATAAGAAGTTTTTCCAGATGTTCAAGGACATCCTCATCCTCACCCTATGTCTCTTAGTCCTTGGACCGTTGGGGCGCCACAGATTACATGTGAACCATCCTCCTCCATTCCTCTCTGTCTTCAGCACTACGCACTGCATCGTCCAGTGTTTGTCCTGTCTCCTCTTTGATGTTATCCTCCGACCTTTCCTTTGTCTTCCTCTTCTTCTCCCTCCTCTTGTGGTGCCCTGCAATATTTCTTTGTCAAGCCCTTGTTTCCTTGTTACGTGGCCGTACCATTGCAGTTAGAGTTTTTTCACAGTCACCAGTAGGTCATCGTACTCCCCAATTGCCCGACTAACCCTTTCTTTCACTGTATAATTCGAGATATGGTCTCTATAGCAGATGCCAAAAATGCTTCTGAAGCATCTCATCTCCATCGTCTTTATTTTTCTTTCAAGATTTGCTGTTAATGTCCAGAATTCGCAGGCAAACAGAAAAATGGTGAGGAGTAATGAGCGCATCAGCCTGATTTTGGTGCTGGGGGCTATATTTTTGTTATTTAATATTTTCTTGAGCTTTTTTAGTGCTGTTGTAGTCTGCGCAATCCTGGACATCAGTTCGGGCTTGGAGCCTTCTTCTGAGACTATTGCTCCTAGTTATTTGAAGTGGCCGACAGTCTCTAATTCCTCTTTCCCCTCTTTCCTCCCCGACCTTAATTTCTGTGGTGATGCCTGCGGTATTATTTGTAATCAGTTTTGTCTTTTCGGCACTGATTAGCATGCCGTAGTACGACGAGGTCGTTCCCAGCCATCACTTCTATGTCGTCCGAAAAGCTTAGGTTGGTGATTGTTCTGCCACCAATGCTGACTGTCCCTTCATGCGCTTCCAGAGCATCTGACATAATTCTCTCTAGGAAGATGTTGAACAGGGTGGGGGAGAGCAGGCAGCCTTGTCGTACTCCAACCGTGGTCTTGAACCATTTTCCGATGTTGTTGTTGAGGAAGACTACACTGGTGGCCTTATCATAGAGGTTGCATTTTATGCTGGTTAGCTTTGTGTTGATGTTGTAGTGCTTCATGATGGCCCATAAAGCAGCATGCCAAACCCTGTCGCATGCTTTCTTAAAGTCAACAAAGACGTGGTATAGATTTTGTTGGTGTTGAGCATATTTCTCACATAGTATTCGGAGGTTGAGAATCTGCTCACTAGTCCCCGTCCTTTTCTGAAGCCCGCCTGTTCTTCAGCAATGATTCTGTCGGCACATGGTTTTAGTCGGTTCAATATGATCTTGAGCATGACCTTGCTTGGATGGCTTATTAGGCTAATTGTGCGATAGGTTTGGCATAGCTGTAGGTTACCTTTTTTTGGGAGGGTGACGATGAGTGATTGGGTCCATGGTTTGGGCCATTCTCCTGTAAGCCAGATTTTGCTACAAATATTGAATTGGGCACTTATCATTGCTTCTACTCCTTGTTTCATCAACTCGGCAGGGATATTATCCACTCCTGTGGCCTTTCATGTGTGGAGTGCCCGAACTTCTGCTTCTACTTCTGCACGGAGAATAGAGCAGTTATCATTGTCTGTTGCTGGAGGAACATTAAGGATCTCTGGGTGTATCTTTATACTTTCATTATACAGCTCTGAACAGTATTCAGTCCATCGTTTGATGATATCATTTTCTTCGGTTAAACATTTACCATTTTTATCCTGTATGGTAGTACTACGCCCTTGTTTTGCAGTGGTTAGTTCTTTCACCAACTGGTATGCTTTTTTGCTATTGTTTTTCTTCAAGCAGTTTTTAATGTCGTAGCATTGTTCTTAAATCCAATTCTTCTTTGCCTTTTTCCTACGTTTTTTTATGGCTTGATTAACTGTCCTATATTTAATGGCCCACTCTGTATTTACCTTTTTTTTTCTTTATCTGCCTCCATTTATCACACAGATCAAGTATGTCAGCTGTCACCCATGGTTTTCGGGTTGGTCGATGATTACCGAGGATGCCGTGAGCTATGTCTGTCACAGCTATGTTCAAGTTATCAATCAATGTGTCCATGTCTGAACAGTCGGCATCTATGATGTTAAGTGCTGCAAATTTTCCTCCTGTTATTGCCTGGAAGGCTTCTGCTAATTTAGGATCCTTCAGCTTTTCAAGGTCGAATTTAATTCTGGTATTTCCTTTTTTGTTTACCCTCTTTAAGTGCAGTCTAAGGGTCATCATGACTAGGTCGTGGTCGCTCCCGATGTCAGCTCCAGGGAAGCTGTGATTCTTGGCAATGTTTATACTAGACCGGAAGCGTGTTTGCAACATGATGTAGTCAATCTGGTTGTGGTGTTTCCCATTGGGGCTGTGCCATGTGGTTTTCCTGGAATTTTATGTTCACCCAATGTGTTGGCCAGAATCAGTTCGTTGAAGCTGGTGAATTCCACGAGCCTCAGACCTCTATCGTTTGAAGTTGCGTTACAGTGGCGTCCGCACGTTCCTTTCCAGATTTCATAGGCATCTTCTCCTACCTTGCATTCCAATCACCTTGAACAACAAGAACGTCCTTCTTTGGCTTTTGGTTTAGCACATCCTGTAGCTGATGGTAGAAGTCGTCCACTTCTTCGTCAGTATAATCTGTAGTTGGTGCATACGCCTGCACGATGGTGATGTTGAACGGTGTTGCCCTTAGAAGAAGAGTGATGAGCCGGCTCCAAACCGGTGAACTGCTCATAATACTGTTCTTAATGTTTTTGTGGACGAGGAAGCCATTAGCCTTATGTTCAAGGACAATATAAATGAAATATGAATAATACACTTGAAGCGTGTTTAGGTGTGGAGATGGTGTGGAGAGGAATTGTGCAGCTGTTGCTTTGAGCTTTGTATTTGTAACTCATATGGGTATGCAGCAAAAATACAATGCACTTTTGAAAACTAAAATGTTGAAAATATTGTTATGTAGCACAATTTCCTGCGCGTGAACTTTCCTTGACCTTGCAGGACACTCCTAGCAGACAGTAACGTCTGTTGTGGGCGTGGTTAAATCTCTTTGATGTAGTTTGTTTACAATCGGCTTCCAAATACGCATTGGGTCGAATGTCTCCGGGTATCTTCTGGAATGTACTCCTTAACCCGAGACATGTAAACAACACGTCATAGGTCCTTCTGGAAGCGTTTTACGCTACATGTTTATAAGGGATTGACTGATACGGAGAGAAGGAGATTCAGATAGATTTTCTTAACTTTACGAGACGTGTTTTATTCTTTGTGTATTTGTGTGCTCATATGTGTTTATTTCGCATTATTCATTGGCACATTACTCTAACTGTGTTAACTGTGTACCAGTACAAGATCTACCATACTGTAAGTTTAAGATTGTAATTATATTTTCTTTTCTTTTGTGATTATCTTAAGACTTAATAAATCTTAATTAATTGTAACTAGAAACTGTTTGGGGTCGTATCTTTAATATTGTTGATTCTATGGTATCGTCCTTTGTTAGGCACTGTTTTACAACGAGCCAATTAAAATTAAAATAGGAGATTAATTTCTCCCAATACAAGTCAGTGCGTAACAATATGTAACTTGTTTTCTCGTCAGACGTTAACCTTACTAGACCAAAACCGCTTCTTTATAAATGATAATCAGTACAGAAACAAAAAAAATAATTATTTTTAAGGGTTGTTTAATGTAAGGACCAATGACAATAGAGATTTTGTTTGCATTAAAATCCTTTCAAAAATATAAGAAAAATAACACATAGGGTTGATGGTTTGCAGATACAAAGTGAGGTAAACGCTTGGGTTACCGGTGGAGATGTCAATCAAACGACCTGTGTCGAGATGAGTAACAGAATACAACAAGCCACAACTTTTTTCATTGAAAAATCTTTTGAACTTTCAGGTATTTTTTAAATTATAAATGAAGAAATGATCCTGTTATTAATTTTTGATGTTTTTTATAACTAAAGGGATTCATAAAATGAACCTTTATTTTCCGGCGAATAAGATGACTTTTCAACTCGGTGAATATCCTTTCAAAAGTCTGGGGTCGTCTTATAAGCTTTTATAGGGTTGGTTATGTTTATAAGTGACAGTTTTTTCTGCTAAGTATTTACATTTCGTAAGCCTTTGAATTAAAATGACCATACTAAAATCAAAGCGGATGTGTTTTTACTTGGTGTGCGTTGGAAGAGGGGGTAGTCTTATACGGCGAGTATAGCCCAAACCCTATATTGTAACAGGAAAAGTAGGGGGGGTGGTCTTATATGCCGGGAAATACGGTATATTTCCATCTGAACCGACCAAACAATAACAAAAAAACCGTGGTGGATATGAAAGCCAGTTTCTCATAAATTTATTTAAGTCTTTTGATTGAAATAATCTCTATAAGTTCACAATGCTGAACCCTGGTTCAATTTCATGGTTTGTGTACACTCCATTGCAGTAAGTTAAATAATTTTATTCAATACTTGTTTTAATCAAATTTTGAAACGTTTTTCACATCTCAAGTTCAACAGATTTTTGAAAATGGAAGTGCACGTGACCAAACATATTTGTCCACTACCGTTAGTTCTTCGGATATTCCCAGTGTCAGTAAAACCGCCGAAGACGCCAAAACAGGAACGACGCTCAGTAAAGATGGCAACGTCACAGTTTCAGGTGAGAAAGATAATGCTGGGGTGGAAATTCAACGTCTGATATTAAACAGCGCAGACACCGACTAATAAAAATAAAACTAGGAACATAACACAAACTAAACATCCTTCACTTGAAGAACTATATGAAGAAAGATGTTTTTTTGTAAAACTAAACACATTTTGGATGAGACACCCCACCCTCTTCATCACAGATACATAGGATCGGGCTGTTCGGGACGAATTCTTTCCATCAGAGCGAGGACTGAAAGATATAAACATTCTTTTGTTCCCCATTCTTTAAGAATCTACCGGCGTGCTCCCTCTGAAGTCACATATCTTCATGAGAACTAATAAGTCCCTGATTTGGCCAAGAGAACTCACTTAATGACTGTTTGAGATAATTTATTATAAATGTTTTGTGTTCAAATTGTTCTATTTATGTGCTGAAAGTGTATAATGCAATCAAAAAAAATTCCCACTTTTTTGGATCAATAAAAGAATATTATCTTATCTTAAATCATTTCTTCCTCAACCGTGTGTACACTGTGTCTTTTTCTATGCATACAATAAGTCAGTTTGGCTTCTGGTTAGTAAAATAACATTTTACTCTATGTCATTTGGATAACAAACAAAATGCATCCCCTGTAATGTATGTCCTTTAAAAATTTTGAAGCTTGATGAAAACCATTTAACTGATTTTGTTTCCCTGGATCATAACATTGTATAAACACACACGCTTAAAATAATCCTTATATTTTATTGTTTGGATTAGAGTGAACAATAAATTGCTATTTCATAAATTGCGTCTTCCCAGTTAGCAATCAGATTTAAAAAAAAAAAAAAAAATTATAATGAATATATTTTACCTTTTTATTGTTGTAGATGCAAACACTGTTCATATTGCGAACACGAGATTCGCGATATTAGAAGAATCGGTGCTCTCACTCAAAAAGACAACAGAACGAGGCCAAGAAAAACAGAAGCATGTTGATAGGGTATTAAAAGATCTGACAACTCAACAGGAAAATGTTAATAAAAAAGTTGAAATATTAACGAATGCAAATTTAAAATCTAAGAAAGAAATTAAAAAAAGAATACTGGACCTTGAAATGACGAGCCAAGACATTTCGTCAAATGTTGATCAATTGTCTGAAACTGTAAGAAATGTCGATGTCCAGTTAAAAAGATTAGAAGATGAAAATAAGTCTGTCAATGTCTCAATGAATGAACTCAATAAACAGATCAGCTCTGTTAGAACTTGTAGCAATGACGTCCTTATGTCTATAAAAGATTTGTCAAAGAACGTCGAGAGTACAAATCAACATTATAATGAAATGTCTAATAAAATAAATCAACTGGAAATCTCTATTGATCTCATGTCGTCTCAGTGTACAGAACAGATTGAAAATATGAGCAGCGCCAATAAGGACACTTTTGAGGAATGTGTACGTATTGGAATTTATTTTTACTTAAAATAGACATAATTAAATTATGTATTTAATTTAAATGCTGATTCTGCAAAAAGAATATTAAAAAAAAACACCCCCACAAAATAATTATTTATTAAAAACTTTATGTACCATACAAAAAGGCGAAGTTATAATTTGAATATTTAAATAATGACAATAAGTAAGATCAAGTAATGTGTTTGTGGAGACTGTTTATGACTTTTTTCTCCAGTTACTTTTTTTTTTCCTTTGAATACGCGCATTTTTGGAAGACGATTTGCGTTCAGCTTTTAAAAATGATAATAAGTTTGTTTTTTACCCTCCTTATTATTGACCACTGAGACTGGACCTACGTAACAAGCCGGCCCTCATTTTTTAATGCGAAACCTTTCACTGGTGGTTTACTTTTTTTTCTAATGCCATGGCTCTATTTCTCTATCCTTTGCGAATATGTAAATACATCAATTTCATGACATATCAATCAGTGCTGCATAAATTCTTGATTTTTTGAAATGAATAATATTGAAAATAACTTAATACCAGATTGAAGTTGGATTTTGTAAACCTGGACATTAGTGTTTGCACAGTTTTTAAGGAATGATATACAATTCATAAAGGTATACACAAACAAATATCTAACCATTTGTGTAATACATGCAGTTATTCTAAGTTGTTTCAAGCTAATTATTTTGATGAAAGTCTTTGTAAACCTTAAATATGATATTTAAAACCAAAAAAAAAAAAAAAAATAATATTTTCTTGAACAATGTATAGATCTAGAAGCACAGTGAACCTTTAAAAAAAAAGTTTTTTGAATTAAGATAATTATTTTGATGAAAGTTTTTGTAAAACTTAAATATTATATTTAAAAACAAAAAAAAAAAAAAAAATAATATTTTCTTGAACAATGTATAGATCTAGAAGCACAGTGAACCTTTAAAAAAAAAGTTTTTTGAATGGTCAGACTTTATTGTAGGGGAACGACATGATGTTTGTTTTTTTTTTAGAAAAAATGAACATTTGATTTATAAGACCTCAGACGGTTATGATATTAATTTCCTCTTCACACAGATTGGAATGATTTGTCAACTACTAAACAGGAGACTGACTCCGTTGCAAAAACTGAATGAGACTTTAAACAGGAAAGTTAATACTTCTGAGAAACAACTTCGTAAGGTATGCTTAGTGTTTAGCTATGCGTCATTTCAAGTGTAATATTAAGTGTTTATTTATGTGTCATTTCAAGGGTATTTTTAATGTTTAGTAATGTATCATTTCAACGGTAAGTGTTATTTTTAGTTATGTGTCATTACAAGAGTATATCCAGTGTTTAGTTTTGTGTCTTTCAAGTGTATTTTTAGAGATAAGTATGCGTCATTACAAGGGTATTGCTAGTCTTAAGTAATGCATCATTGAAATGATGTGTTTAATGTTTAGTCATATGTCATTTCCAAGGAATGTTAAAGGTTTAGTTATGCGTCATTTGCAGGGTATATTTAGTGTTTAGTTATGCGTCCTTACAAGAGTATGTTTAGTGTTAAATTATGCGTCGTTACAAGAGTATGTTTAGTGTTTAGTTATACGTTATTACAAGGGTATGTTTAGTGTTTAGCTGTGCGCCATTACAAGTGAAAATTTAGTGTTTAGTAATGCGACATTTCAAGGGTAATTTTAATCTATAGTGATGCGTTATGCTTTTTAAAATAATTCATTTTCTGAAGTTCTATAGTTTATTTTCCCCATGTTGTTAATTTTAACAATTAAGCGTTTGTCAAATGTTGCATTTGTTATGTCTCAATCGAGTACAGGAAGATGATACCGAGAACCGTCTGGCTGCACTGTCCACTGCACTTACACAAATCGGTACGAAATTGTTAAGTATTAGTTTAGAATAAATTGGTGTAAGATTTAAAGTTAATATTATTTCTTTTTTTACGGATCTTAATGGCTGATAATTAGGGAAATCTGGGGTTCCTTATTTTAGATCAGATATTTAAAATTTACATTATATTTATCAAAATAAAGTCTATATCCTTAAGTGGTTGCCATTGCATTCTGCCCATTTATTTTTTTTTTTTATAATCTTCAGTTAATAAAGTTACAATCTGATTTCATAAATTCATGTCAGCAAATCTCCTCTAAACACTAAAGCTATTGTAAATTCAATTTTTTAATAAAGATATCAAATTGAAAGTCAAAATGTGATTTAAACACTACACGTTTTCAAAAGCATCAATGTGTTTATTAGCTTCATTCATAAAGAGCTGTTGGGGTATCTGTTAAATAAACCATTTGTAAAACATAGTACCATTTTTGTCCTGTTCATATAAAAAATTAGGGTAAATCGATGGCTATCAAATACACGTGTTTAGAGATTGAACATTCAAAATCAATTAGACGTTATATAAAACTACTTACAAAAAGAATAATTACAGATGTCTGAAATAGGCTAAGAGCAGGTTTTGGCTTTAAACAGAGAGCTATTTCTCTACCTTAGTTGAGGCAATCTTTCAAGGAAATTTTGAAGTTTTTTCACGGAAGAACCCATTCGATAAGACATGTTGCCTGTATGCTGGCTGGGGCTAGGAAGAGCAATAGAACACATAACAAAGAGAAAATTGCAGAGTTGTGAAGAAAATTATTCAGACTGACTCATTCTTAAATAAAGAGATACACTTTATGAACTTATTCCTAAAACTTTTGGCTTAGAAACAGTGACAATAACGTATAGCGACTTCAGTCTCAATTTGTTGCCCAAATTGTAATATGCTTTCATTCTGTCATCCTACTAGTAACTAATGTCATTTTGCAGTACAACACATTTATTTCTCTTATCATATTTTTTTTCCTCTTGTGCACAGAACGTAAGTGTTGTCTTCCAAATGTAGGATTCTATGCGTCGACTTCACTAAAATGCACAGCAGAATGTTGTGATGTTGATACGTTTGGTGAAGTTGAAGGTAATTACGGAAATCACTTCGATACATCAACCGGGGTATTTACTGCTCCACTGGATGGCTTGTATTTAATAAGTGTTAGTTCAGGAACTTCAGGAAGACGTGAAATTTACTGTACTAGATGCTATCACAAGAGAAATAACCAGTTGTATAAAAAGGGAGATGGCACTAATCTGTTCGATATTTATGCCAGCCAAACGATAACGAGGTGCATTGAGATGAAAGCAGGGGACATAGTTTATTTGCAGTCGACGACCTTTCACGAAGACAGTGAAATCTGGATTTCGATTCATTTTTCATGTTGCATGATTAAACGATGACTTGAAAATTAGGTACATTGTGACTCGTACTGCAATATTCTTTATTCTGAATATTATTCAACATTTAATCACTTAATTTTTTTTTTTTTTGTTAACTCTCAAAAATGTCCACTTAACCAAATTTTAGTTAATTATATATATATATTTTTTTATTCTTTGGCTAACCTATAAATAATTAATCTCACTAGGAGAAATCCTTGCAAATAATGAACCATTTGGGTAAACTTAAAAGTCAGAAAGATTGAATTAGTTTCTTGAAAAGATCACTCGACTTGCAAATGTGTGAAGTTAACACGAAATAGTGTCAAGCTTATTTAACGTCTGCAACTATCGTCATTCTTGCTCATTGAAATATAATATTTTATTAGCTTTTTTTTTCTGTATATTTATTTCAAACAAGTAAATCATTGCAGGATGAAATGGACTATAACTCGCATGAGCAGAATTAACAAATAGCTTTCTTAAAAATCTTCTGATATGATATTTGTTTGATGGGATAATCTTAATAAAGTAGAATATACACATTTTCAACGATTGGGTAGACATGTTTGTGCCGCACTGAGAGAAAGATATTAAATTTCCAAAAAATTGAGAGGGGAAGAAAGAAAGAATAGAGAAGAGAAATATAAAAAAAAAAGTTGAAAGAGATATACAACTTTGTGAACTTAAAGTAGCAGAAGAGGGGAAAAAAGAGAGAGAAGAAAGGGATGAAGATATGTAAAATAAATACTAAGAGAGGATATTTTAAAAACACATTTTATTGAAAGCTTGTGGTATTAAAGATCAAATCCGCAGTCTATTTATAACCAGATCCTACTTCAATTACTCTATATTAAATTTCCATATAGTTTATGCAACATTTGTCTGAACCAGTGGTCTTTAAAAAAATGTGTATTGGTCACCTCAGATGACATTAATTGAGCTTGATTTTTATGGATCAATTTTTCCTTAACGCATTTTAATTGGAAAATTTTACATGATTAACTAATTTAATTAACTTGTTTTTAAAAGTTTTTTAACAAATTAAAACATTGTGAATATAAAACATCACTCTCTCGTATTTAAAAACAAAAAACGACAAAAAAATAAATAAATAAATTGATGTTTATATTCATGCTCTTTTCTACATGAATTATTTAACAGTGTTTTGATTTCATACTAAGATATATCTTTACTTACTGCCTTTAAACAGATGCTATTATTGATGCCATTACTCAACTGTCAGCATTACAGATACATTTTTATTATGATTAATATTATTTTTTAAAATAAATAGACACCAAATTATATTAACATATCAATGAAATTTCTGTCATTGTTTAGAAATATTATGTACTACTTATATGATTAAATTTAATAATAATTTTAAAAAAGTTACCCCATCAATTTCGTGTTACCTACTTAATTAAATATTTTACACATACATTTCTGTATAGATCACTTCAATTTCGTGTTACCTCCTTTGTTAAATATTTTAGACATATATTTCTGTATAGATCACTTCAATTTTTCCCTCTTAGTCAAAAACATAACTGTTGGATCAGAAATCGCGTCTCAACGGGTCGGCCAGGACATGCGGGCCAAACTTTGTACCGCTCTTCTTCCAACGTCAAATGCACTACAGATGGCCCATAATGCCGACCTTCAATATAGAGACCGCCATTCTGTACCATTTTTTCCTACGCCCTACCTAGCTGATGCTATTTGTGTAGACTCTTCGACATTGGCACGGGAATCAAACACATCACTCCCTCCACACATCTTCCAAAGACCACCAGTCAAGCTGGGAGGACTCCATTTAAAATGTTTTTTTATTAAAACGACGGATTCCGAATGTTAGATTCGAAACCCGTTGAATATTTAGCGTGAGCATTGATTATCATGAAACTTTTGTACAAAGCAAGAGAGTGAGAAAGAGAAAGAGAACGAGAGAGAGAGAGAGAGAGAGAGAGAAGGAGAGAAGGAGAGAGTTTAAAAATGGCTGTAAATGCAATTACTACGTAGTCACAAAAGTATGTTGCATACATTATACGTTTTAATTCCATGTTTGTTCAATAATCTTTAATTTAAAAAAACAACTAATGTCAACAATTTTTTGGACTGGGTACAAAGAAATTCTCAATTCCCATCAAATCATTATTTTAGTTTGTATTTTGTGAATGGGCGGCCATAGGGCGAAGAAATGTAAATGAACAGTCCCTCTTCTAGGGATTTCCGATTCTGTGTAGGAATAACCGATCTTATTTGTTGAATATGTGATGTGGTTAACTTGACTTAGTCAGTGTACTGCCGTTTTAAAAAGTCCAAAATATGTAGGTTTTCATTTTATTATCCCCCCCCCCTTTCCGTTTTTTTCCCCTCTTGTTTACATAATTCATAAAATCAACATTTTATAATATTTTATGTTAGGGGTTGGCTATTGGTAGTAAACTAGGTAGTACGTAGGTTAAATTTCACATTTTTGCGTCACCATAAGCCTGCAATATGTTGCCAAAAATAAACGTGTGAGGATGTTTTAGGCAGGTCGTGGTTTCACTTCCAAATTTATTTTTGTGTGTCTAGTCTTATAATTTCGCCCCAAATCTGAGTTTCAAGACATAAGACACCCAATTTTCTTTTTTTTTTTGCATACAATTATTGTATTTTTATTATAAAGCGCATTGTGATTTCATTCTATTCTCTGCCGTTAAAAACATTGATTCTGCCCACATTAAAAAAAAAAAAAAAATAAATTTAAAAAATTTGATTCTGCCAAAATTAAAAAAAAAAAAAGTAAATAGTGATTCCTGGATATTAAATTAATTTTTGCTACAGTTGAAAAATTGACCCTAACAATCAACAATTGACCAATAATATTCCTTAGGCATATCTGCCACCAGAAAAATCAACAACGTTGGTTGGTATGCGTATCACATGACCATGTTCCTAAACAGAGATTGGCCAAAGCTTCTGTTGTAATCGTTAAGCTTTTAACGAACGTAACATGATTTCTAAAAATGTGCAGGAATACAATTATTTAGCTAATTATAAACATTTATAGGCCTATATTTTATTTAATCATTTTAATCATAATAATGAGCACATACAAAATGTTTACTATAAATTAATTGTTCAACCTCAGCTTGATTTTTTTTGCCATATGTGCACATATTAATCTACTTTGGCGAAAAAAAAGCTGGGTATACTTTTTTCTGACTGTGATCCCCATCCCACCAGTATCATTCGTCTATCTATATTAACCTTAGGTCTATAGTAGATAAGGCAATAAAGAAAAAATAAAAAAAAATAAAAACAGCATTTTTGAAACACCTATAAAGCTTTGATAACATTTTCCAAATGCCTGACAGTTTCAAAATAGCAATTTAAAGCTGAAATTCCTTCAATACTTATTATCGGTGTTGTCACTAAGTACCAACTAGTATTAAATGAACTGGCCAATACTTTGCCAGCGTCATTGAAAGCGGGTTTTTTAACTTCCGGTTTTGGTTTGATTTGATTGGCTGGACTACCAATAGCCCTCTAGAAACTTTTGGTAGTTTACTACAAATAGCTCCATTTACGAATTAAGCTATTGAAAGTTAACTACCAATAGACATTTTCGTGCTTTTAGCTAACGGTCAATCAATTTATTTAAAGAGTTAGTTAACTTTTTAAAATCCACTAGATGTAGCCCTCCACACATTGGCGAATGCAATGCGTGAACTTCACAACTACTAAAGCTACTTGACAAAAACGTGATCTCAAGTTACGCACATTTAAGAATGCCAATTTAGCTACATCCCCCTCCCCCCCCCCCCCCCCCCCCACTTTAATGCCACTACACACTTTTTAGTATTCATAGCCGACCCGCGGCTTAGCAGACGCCACGAGCTTTGCTGGCTAGCGAGGATGAGGCAGGAGGGGGGCCGTAGCTCAACCGCAGTGCGCATGTCTCGAGACCAACGTGGGCAGGCAAGGGAAGGGAGGGTTTGCCTGCGTCTTGCTTGTCCTGGCGTATCTAAATATAGCATGCGTCTTGTTTGACCTATTTTTCTCTGGCGAAATATATCAATAGATGCTTCTCTGTATTCTTCCAATGTCAATATAATACTTTGAGTAATAGTTTCAATTTCAATTCTTTACTTTTATTATTATGTAAATTAGGTGATAGAGTACTTTTGTAGAGTACAGTGGCGTAGGAGCAGGGTTTCTTTCAGCTATATCTCCGGGAGGGCACTCCCCCCACCCTTCCCGACCCCCGGTGAAAGCCAAGTGCCCCCCGTAGCCAAACTATGTCCAACAATAAATCAACTGGCACTGCCCCCCTCCCCCGCACAATCTGCAGTGCCCCCCCCCCTGCGGGGGGGGGGAAATTTCTGAAATAATCACTGGTCGGAGTTAACGGAGGGGTGTCATTTCCGTCCAACCTCAGAATTTCTTTTTGTTGAAAGGGACTGAAAAATTCTCAACCTGCTCCCATATGGCAGGTTTACGATTAAATTTATAGTTTTTTTTTTTTTAAAAACCAACTATGGAATGTATCAATAAAACAACACTTAAACAAATTATAGTGACCAATTACTTTTAGATATGTTGCTATAAAAGCATTTAACACTGGTTAGATTTTTCACGCTATTTTTTTTAAATTTTTTTTTTGTTGCTTTTTTTTTTGTTTTTGTATTTTTTTTTATTGTAGCGAAAGTGAAAGTTTTATCTTAACTATTTTTTAAAGATCACAGCTGAAACCACCAGTCATTGAAAGCCAAAGAATAGCATTAATATTATCAAATAGCAACACAAACAATTGTGTAGATAATTTTTATTTATGTGTTTTCGTGAGCGTTTTATATTATTATGTTTATGTGTTTGCATTTCTAAGCCAGTGATGAGATTATGCCGGTCTAGTATAGTTCGATAAAGCGGTTGTTAAATAAAGGAAAATAACTGGTGTTTTTTTTGTTGTTTTTTTTGTTGTTGTTGTTGTTTTTGTTGTTTTTTTTTTGGGGGGGGGGGGGGGTGGGGCTGGGCTTCTTTAATTTTGTAAAACACTTTTTTATCAATAAATTTAGTTTTTTTTTTTTTTTTGTTTTTTTTTTTGTTTTTTTTGTTTTTTTTTTTGTTTTTTTTTTTGGGGGGGGGGAGGTCAGGCTTGGCATCATTAATCTTGTAAAACACTTTCTTATCGGATAATCTAGTTTTTTTGTAAATCTCGTGCTTTACTTTTTAAGTTGGCCTATTTAATACAAGAAATTGTAACTACCTATCAACATAACATTTTTCATCCTTAAAATTGCATTAGAGCATTTGCCTGCCAGTGCATTTGTATAATCTTGATCTGATTTTGAAAGTGTTGGGTGTAACACTGCTATAACAACTTTAATCTTTTAAATAATTAAAAATACCATGATCGTTTGACAGAATTCCCAAAACCATGGCGAGCAAGGCGCAGGCAGCTAAAAGGTTTGTGCAAATCATCAACCAACAGCTTGAGATACTCAAGGAAGAGAGTAACTCTGTGAAAGATGGCATCGACGAGTTTATGAATGGGGTAATTCTTAAATTAAATTATGTATTAATTTTATTTTTAAAATTTGACACAGCTTATGTATTTAGGGATTATAAAATTCTTTTAGATTAAGATATCAAATAATTTACACCATGAAAATTTGAAAAAAAAGTTTTTACTTTTTTTGATGACGCTCAAGATTCAAATGTTAGATTTTAATTTCGTATACAAATAGATATAACGATAATTAAGCTACAAAAAGTATTTATTTGTTAACCATCATGCAACCTGCAGGCGCAAAAAGAAGTGGATTCTTGGGTTAATGGAGGACATGTCAATCAGACCACGTGTGCCGAGATGAGTAACCAAATTCAGCAAAATATCAGTTTTTTAATCGCAAAGTCTGCTGAATTATCAGGTATTTTATTGAAACCACAAAATGCACATACATTAGTATGTAATGTAGGATTCATTTAATTTTCTACAATATAAACAAAAATCTTACCCTGACCATGTTTGTTTGTTTGTTTGGATGCATTGTAATTGACTTCTTTATCAAAAAGAAAACCAACCAATGGAATGCATCCAATTTTTACGTGATCACACATTCTGACCTATACGTAATACATTGAACATTTGGTCGAAATCCCTTTATACTAAAAAATCTCGAATTGCTTTGGATTCCAAGATGCTGTAGATCTTGCTCTACATCCTCCAGCCATCTAAGCCTAGGTCTGCCTTTGAGCCTTATTACCCTTTGGTTTTGTTGTGGCGTCCTTTTCACTCCTGTGCTTTTTGACATTTCATTTTTTTTTTATTGCTGCTACTAGCGTGGATCTTGATTATTGGCTATATAATAACTTGATGGTTCGTATTCCTTATCCATATTCATCTTTTGTTGGTCCATATATTTTCCGGAGAAATTTTCTCTCTCATTAATATGTTGTCTGCCATTTATGTTAGGTACCAAGTTTCACTTGCGCATGTAACAATTGTATAATTACAGTTTATATGCATTTTTCTGTTCTTCTTTCATCAATTAATTTTTTTAAAAAAAGTTTTGAAGTTCAATCTATTTGATTTTTAATATAATGTCACAATGTCACATCTCAAGAGCAACAGACAAATGGGATTAATCAAAACCAAGCTTCTCCGAGGACTCCAATAGCCAGTAAAAGTGGGAAAGTCCAAACTGACACGAAGCGCTGTAGTGAAGAAGCTGTAGACGAATCAGGTAACAATTCTAGAAGGGTGTACCTATTTGTCTTCTCGTTGTGAGTTAAGTACCAATTTATCTTTGACGTTGATTTAGTTAGTATCTAGAAAATTGAATTGATTGCATGTACATTTCTTTCCAATGACAGGAATATCAGCGGGAGAAAAAACTTCACATGTTCTGGCTATGAGATTGGCCGTACTAGAGGAAGCTTTGTTCTCACTTAAAAAGACAACAGAGCAAGTACAACAAAAACAAGAACATCTTGACAAGGTTTTAAAAGTTGTCTCTGCTCAGCAGGAAAATGTTAACAAAAAAATGGAAATACTATCAGAGTCTAATTTAAAATCTCAGAATAAATTGCAAGAAAAAATAAAAGAAAGCGAAACAATTAGCCAGACAATTGCATCAAATGTTGATCATTTGAAAGAGACCGTAAAACAACATGATGTCATGTTGAATGGATTAGCGGATGCAAATAAGTCTGTCAACACATCAATTAGAGAAATGAGTAAACAGATCAACTCAGTTAGTAATCATAGCAACCGCACGTCAATGTCTATACAAGATTTGTCAAAGAGCGTCGAGAGTACCAATCAAAATTATAATGAAATGTCTAATAAAATGAATAAATTAGAAAACTCCACTAATCTCATGTCGTCTCATTACACGAAGCAGTTTGAAAATATGGGCAGTCTCAATAAGGATCAAGTTGATGATTTGGTACGTAAATAATATATATTTTAAGCAATTTTAAAAAAGAAAAAAAAACAAACAAACTTTTGTTTTAATATCAATTAGTTTCTTTTAGAAACTTATTTTATTATTATTTAATTTTTAATTGATCAATCTTGACTTTTAAATTAAGTTATTTATCTTTAAAAATATTTTTTTTTACATTGTTAAGAGCGAGAAATTGTGGTTATTTCGAGACGCATAATTTATTCTTACGAAATCTACATCATATACATAAGTTTAAAACTATGAGCTATCAATAACTCTTAATGTTTAAGCTATAAGTTATCATGAAAAAAACAACAACCCAAGAATATAGCACAATAATAAAATACAATCAATTCAAAGTGTATCACTGTTGATGTCTAATTATAGACAGTGGCGTAGCTAGTGATTTGGGGGCCCAGGGGGCTTGGCCTCTTTAGGGGCTCCTGCGTTTTGACATTCGACATTATTTAATGTAAAAAAAATTTCGGACACTCCTTTGGGGACCCCCTCAAGTAGGGGCCCGTGGGGACTTTCAAATTTGGACACCCTCCCCTAGCTACGCCACTGATTATAGATATCGTAGGCCTACTTAAATGTGCGTTTAGAGACCTTTGCCATGTTGGTTTTAAAAAAAAATAATATTTCCCTATAAAGCAGCTTGTACTTTTTTGAATGCAGATGAATTATGTCTATCAATAATCGATACTGTTAACATACATATTTCACAACGACAAATCAATGTTTTATTTTTTTTTAAAGTACGACTTATTTATTTTTTAAATCTGAATGAAACACATGTAAGAAATTTAAGTTCTGTAGCTCTTTGAAAGCATTTGAAACCCATTAAAGATGCTGATGATAAATATCAACTAGCATCTTTAACATCCATGTTAAAAATGTGTATTAAGTGTAATATAACAGGTTAAACTATTCAGGATAATTGTTTTATGTTTGAAATCATAAAGTCTGTGTCTCGACTAGGAGTTATAAATCTTATTTTTCATTTTAAATTAATAGTTCTTTTGCTTCTAACATAGTAAACACCAAAATGTTAGTGTATAGCATATATATATATATACATATAAACGTAATATTCCCTTTAAGATAAACAACATGTTTTTTTTTCTCCATGGGCCATTGAATCCATTAATTCTAAGAGATATGTTCCTCTTACCTAGATTGGTATGGTTTGTCAACTACTAGCGAAGAGATTGACTCCGTTGGAATCATTAAACAAGAGATTAAACTTAGAGAATATTAAGAAAATGAAACAAGAGCTTTCAAAGGTATCTGTGTAGAATTTTTTTTTTATCATTTAAATTAACTTCACTTTTATTCGCGTGTTTCTGGCTGGTTGCAAAAAAAAATATTCCGGTCAACCTATCGAGCTGAAACATGGCACACACAGGCCCGCACTTGAGGGTGCGGGGACGAGGGACAACCATGAGACAACATGGGGCTCGAGCTCAAGATTTTAAATATACTCGCATGCTTTGAAACACGAAAGGGGCCCGAACTCAGCTGCCTGGGGCCCAGAATTTGCTGGGTGCGGGCCCGGCACATAAACTCGTTACCGATGACAACACATTCTCTCAAATTTTCATTCCAACCCCCTTCCCCCGCCACAAAATCTTTTCTTGTCTGTTTTTCACGGGTAAGGTGAAGAAAATGTAATGACACTGATTTCACGAAAATCAAATTCCCGATTACTGCGCTAAATGAGATGCTACACAAAATAATTCAAATACGTTTTGGGCTCAAAATTTTAATTTATTTTCTGAAATTCAGAAGCAAGGCGAAAGTTGAATAGATTTTGTATTAATATACCGATATCACACGATTCTTTAATATTACAAGTATTTAAATACATTATTGATCAGATTCGTTTTCCTTTTTTTTTTTTTTACTTCTTAGAAATAATGTTTTAATTAATGTTGTATTAACCATTTTCGAAAAAAATAGTTCTTTATAGTTTAGGAGCGTGGAAAGAATATTTGGTTTATAGTTGTTTATAAAATGTACCAAATTTACAACAAACATGATTGATGTTACTTATATAAATTAACCCTTTTTCTGAAGATGTAGCTGGTTTTGAAATTAAATTGTAGCTCATGGGCCAAATTATTAACACAACGTTACGTAATCATGCAAGACTTTGCTATATGCAATATGCCATTTATAGGGTAAAAAGGAGAGAGACTGCAATCAGGTTAGCACAAAAGGTAATTAGTCAAACAAAGTAATGTTAAACCTTTAAAAAGGAGCGCAACAAAACAATGAATGTGTCGGCAGGAAGCCTTTGTCAGCGAATAAACAGAAAAAAACCAGAACAACATTTAAAAAATAGCACTTAGCCGAGACTTAGTATCCAAGAGTGCAAGCAAATGAATTGTGGTCTCTTAAATGAGGAAGGCACAGTGGAGCAGAGACGGACAAGGGTAAGGGGAAGTTGTTAAGACGAAAAATTCAGAAAGTCAAGAGTAAGGGACATTTGGTGAGAGATTGGACATGAAGAAAATTGTCAAGTGCCTAATGGGATAAAGGAAGAAAAATGTAATAATAGATCAAAATAGAGAAGGGAAAAACAAAAAGTGAGGTAATGAGACGGAAACAAACGCCAAGTAGCAGTCAAGTAGTGAATGTAAAAGGGTAATAAGGGGAGAGACTGCAATCAGGTTAGTACAACAGGTAGTTAGTAAAACAAAGTTAAGTTAAACCTTAAAAAAGGAACTCATCAAAACAACGAACGTTTCGGCAGGAAGCCTTCTTCAGCGAACAAATAGAACAAACAGAATACAATTTTTTTTTTTTAAATAGTACTTTCCTGAGAAGTCGTCAGGAGGGCAGCAAATGAATTACCAGTGTAAAAGAAAGTGACATCTTCAAATTTAATATGATGTTTTAATTTTTTATTTTTTTGTTGTTGTTATGTTGTTGTAGTTGTTGAAACTGCTGCGGCAGTCATGCTTGGTTATTTAAAATTTTCTTAATGGAACTGAAAGATGTATTCAAATTTTATTAAATTGTTTTTCATTTACAGAAAGAATCGATCGGGACTCGTGTAGAGGAGATCTCCAAAAAACTTACACAAATTGGTAAGCAATTAACATGCAAAATAAAAGCAAATGTAAAAAAGAAAAAAAATTTTTTTTTTAAAAATAAATAAAACGAAAGAAACAAAGTTTTCACATATTGTTAGCAATCGCCCATGACAACCAATGATTGTTGCATATACTCTTTAACGAAAAACGCTTTTTACAAACATTAGCAATGTATCAACTTACTGTATTTTTTATTATTTTAATATCATATATCAAAAATTACCCGTGTGTGTGTCTGTATTTGAGGGAAAGATAGAGAGAGAGAAAGAGAGAGAGAGAGAGAGAGAGAGAGAGAGAAAGAGAGAGAGAAAGAGAAAGTGAGTGTGTGTGTGTGTGATGATGAGTGTTTTTGTTTTGCGCGCCTGGTGTTATTTTATTTATTATTATTTTTTTGTTAAAAAACATTTTGTTAAAATGTCTTAGTTTAATTTAAGTTCAAGTCTAATTACTAGAAATAAAATTAGATTATTTGTTTCCCGATGATTTGTCTTAGGCTCTGGTCCCCTTTAAATTTACGGATGATTCAGTTACTCTACAGCAAGAAAATGTGAGCCCATATTATAATAATTATCCTTGATCTTGGCCTTGTCTTTGCTTGGACATGCTCGACAGAGAGTCTTCACTAAGAGTAGTCGTGCACGGGGCAGCTGTGCAACAGTTTAGTCATGCGCAGCGTCCTCTGGCACAGTAGTGTTACCTGGAATCTTAGAGAGGGGCCGAGCCCAACAGGGAGTATCGGGACAGCGTGATCCGGTCTAGAGGAATTTTTACATAGAACTGCCCTTTAAAGGCCTTATATCAGAGAGCGGTTTCGATCCTGCCTGCAGTGAATGCATTGATACTTATGGCGAAGGGTCATCCACAGTCAGGCCACGCAGTTGTTACTATTTTTACTTCTGCTATCTGTAGATCTTCATTAAATTAGAAGTGTGTTTGCACACTGTAAACAATTCACTCTAATTCATTGGAATATATAACAAAGAAACACGAAGGCAGTTGTGCACTTCACCCATCTATACAAAAAAAAAAAAAGTGGAAAATTAATTGAACAATAATAATCATATTTAATGTCATGGAAATAACTACCATCTTCGTATTTTGATGAGAGTACCATGTTTTCATTTGTCCTCTTCGTTACGCCAATTGCGACAAATGTATCTAATTTTATTGAGACTATTCTAATATTCTGATCTTCGCAGAACTGAAACTCACCCAACCTAATGCCGGATTCTATGCCTGGAAATCATTGCATGTCACAGAAGAAGATTTCGACATACAATGGTTTGATTCTGTTGAATGCAACTATGGAAACGACTTTGATCCACAGACTGGGATATTCACTGCTCCGGTGAATGGCTTGTATTTAATAAGCATTAGCATAGGAAGTCCAGTAGATTTTGACCAATTTGTTGTTACATGCAATCTTAGGAGCAATAAAGGTCCAATTAATCTTTGCGATGTATCTGGGAACAGAACAATAACACGATGCACAGAAATGAAAGCAGTAGAAACAATTTATTTGAAACTGATGTTGAACAAAAATGACGACATCTGGATTTGGGTTCATTTTTCATGCTGTCTGATTCAAAGTTTAAGATAGACGAAAAAAGCTGTCACCTCTAAGTAACATTTCGTTTTCAGTGTACACGTATATTAGTTTAACTTATATCTGTATATTTTTTAAACAGAAGACAAGGTGAAGTTAACAGATTGAAAAAAAAAAATTCTATATCACAATCGCTCGTTAATTTTGTGCGCACTTAATGAGGAAAAAAATGTCGTTTCATGTGTTTATTGTATCAACTTTGTGATACATTAATAAATGACAGTTTGAGACTTGGTGTGCATCGTTGTAAAATAGTTGTATGTTTATATCTAAAAAAAAACATATATTTATTGAATGCCAATTTAAATTTTGGTTATGGGAGAATGGTCGTTCTCGAAAAAGGATAACCATGGGTATCGAAGGGTACGCAAGCTTTAGTTTTAGTATACAGCGATACACGAACTATTTTGACAGTAATCTTTCATTAAAGAAAGAAATGAATACAAAAATAAATTTTATTCTTTTTCAGTGTTATTATCATTGGCTAAATCAAAATAGACGTGATTTTAGTATGTTTATGTATATAAAATACATTTTTAATCACACTTTGAGTAAAATTTATATTACATTAAGGCCAGTTTAGAGATTTAAGTGTGTTCGAATGAGAGATCTTTCAAGAGGTGTTATTTGGGTGAAGGGTCTTTAATTTGAAGGAGTAGTGATGATGGGTATTTTAGGGACTGATGTTTGGTGCTTGAATCAAGGGTTTAGTATAGATGTCTGGAAGATTGTGTTGAAAAGGCATTCCTGTTTGTCACGCGGGGAGTCGTAGAGACGAGATTGCAGCGGAAATGGCGTATAAGTTGGTGGCGGTGACCCAAATGAGAATCGAGAACTGCCCCTTCTAACGCACACTATCACGGGCTAGACGACAAGAGAGACCCGAACCGTCGGTATTACAGCCTGGACCCTAACACTTTAGCGCATCTGTTGATTGCATTTCCAACACTAGACGTTTGCTGGGGGGGGGGCGCCAGGGCGTCAGGAGAGACCTCAATGTTACGGAAATGTTATAGGGATGGAGCAGGTTGCCAATGTACTAGCCGGGGCTTTAAGAGCGCAGCGAGGTCAAACCTCAACCAGAATATGTGAGTTTGTTAGAAATGGTAAAGTTGTGGGTTTTAACTTGATAAATTTATCATTCGTCTTTTGTAGCACATTCAGACAAGACAAGAGATTTATCCTGAAAAGTAGTAATCTAAGTTTTAAAAAAATAGTTTAATTTAAAAAAACAACAACAACAACAACACGTAAATACTATTAAATTTGCTTGTTCTAATACAAGGGTCAGCGAATGTCAGCCTTCGGGCTGGATCCGGCCAGGGGCGTGGGTTTATCCGGTCCGCGAAGTTGCTGGTGATTTTACAGTCACTGAATATTTAGCGCATATGGAAGGTATGATTATAAAAACAAAGGGGGATATTTTCAATGAGGTAGATAAATTGACTGAAATGATAATTTTAGGCATTTCCTCGCTAAGGAATGATTTCAATCATTGGCCCTATTGTAGCTTCGTGTGTGGAAAGACATAAAATAAATTATATCTATACACGTGAAACAAGGTGAATGAACAGCAGAATCTGAAAAGCACATGCAAAAAAAATGTTATGATGATAGGAAGTACAAACTTTTAGCCTTAACAAAATGTTATTATGCCAGAATAGCACCAGTTAAATGCCATAATGCCACAAAAGCACCACTTAATGCACCACCACAATGAAAACATTAGATTTCTAGTATATAAATGATTTTTTTTCTTCAAATCATTTACATTTTTAATCTCGATTAAATTAATGTAATTAATGTCAGCCAAAAAAGTAACCCATTAATTTACTTGTTTATTTTGAATTTTGACTTGGAAATAGAAGTGTGTCTTTCATGTTATGCCAAAAAAAAAGATATTCTGTTAATACATCTAGGCCGTCTTGAATTTTTGACAAATCTATCAATCTCCTCACCAGCTCTCGCCAAAATAAGTGATGAATGTTTTATTTTGTAATTTTTTTTTAAATTGCAAGCGGTTAGCATTTATTTCAAGATAAGTCATTTTACTGACACTTGTTAGCGCCTGTATTAAATGAAATAAAAGGTTTAATCTTAAGGTGTCGTTGACATAATCCACTGACTTTGTTTTTGTATGTTGTTAAACTGGCATGAACATCGTTTTGGTAAACAAACGGGGGAGCAAATGTGAAACAAAATGAGAGCTACGAACGAAAATGAGAGCATGGAATTGACTTAGAGAGACAGAGAGAGAGAGAGAGAGAGCGATCGAGGGAGCGAGACAGAAAAAGTGTTTGATGATAAAAAGAGAGAAAAGAGAGAAGTCAGAAAGAGTTAAAACTTGGGAAACTTGGAGGAGGGGGGAAAAAAAGTAAAGTGAACAAGAGAGGAAAAAAAACAAAAAACTTCTTAAATTCAAGAGAAAATACATTCCTATCTACATATTTGTATTTCGTTTTGTTATTTACTTGAAAATTTGGGGTGTTTAATACTAAACACTTGTTATAGCTCGCCAAACATGAATGAACTTCCTGTCTGCTAAAGTTACCTCACGAAACATGAAATCAACTAATGCACTTTTAAGAATACACATTTTCGCTACACCAATATTCACTTAATGTTATGTCGCTGCACGATTTTTATCTCACGCCCATGAACTATATTAACTATTCTGATGTCCCAACCTCTTTGAAACCGATTATTTTTTTACACTATACTTAAATTGAGACGATTTCATTTTCCATAAAGAAAATATTGCGCACCAAACGCAGCTGCGCTATTTAAACAACAAAATATATTTAGGATAGTTATCGTGAATTATATTTTGCGTGCCATCCGGAAATGGAAGCTGTCACACCCCAAGCAAAATATGTTAGATGTAACTTTAGTAGATGGGAAGTTCATGCATTGCTATTACCATAGGTACCAAATGTACGTCTAAGTAATAAAGTAACAAAAAAAACAACAACTACCCGATCCTGGAGCAAAGATCTGCTGCAATGAAACGATCTTTAAGTATAATATGGCGCTCACTTAGAATGTGTATGGATACCTGCACAAGCTAAACAGTTACTTGAAATGATACGTAGATCTAAATTTGTAGGGTAAGACATACAACATAATAGAGCAAGCGACATGTATGCTATACTGAAAGGACTAAAAAAAAAAAAAGATTTAGGCTCTGTGTTGATGACTTCAACATAAATTATAGATCATTTGTACGTGACTCTGTATGTACCTTTTGTATTAAATAAGAGGTAAAAGAAAGAGGAAATTAACGCCGGTCCTTGGACATCTGATTACAACGACGAAAAAAAGAAAGGTATTTGGATGGATTGAGGGCTTAAAAAAAAAAAAACCAGTAAATACACTCCCTTCTCTAACGGGGGACTGCAAAAAAGCGCAAACTGGAAATGGTAGGGCACGTGACAAGAAAACAAAGGCTCGCTAAAGAAATCTTGCAGGGCACAACGCGAGAAGGAAGAAGAAGGGGAAGGCAGAGAAAAAAGATGGGAAGACAATATCAAAGAGTGGACTGGACTGAAACTAGGCGATGCTGTGCGAAGTGCAGAAAACAGAGAGGAATGGAGAGGGATAATGTTCATGTCATCTGTGGCGCCCCAACGGTTTAAGGACTAAGGGAGATGATGGTGATGATGATGATACAATCACAGTTTTAAACTGTTGTACACTCGATTCATAACGTGCTCTCTTCATTACTGGATGAAAACAAGAAAGTTCGTTACATAGTGCTAAGTGAGTAGGAACATATTTTGAGAATAGTAAAAAGAGACCCAGATCCGCTATCATTAAGAGCAAACGCTCCTGTAACATTATTGGAGAAAATAAAACAGGAACAAAATATTGTGTCTATCAATTTTCTTGACGATGGGTTTAAAAAAAAAAGAAAATATAATAATAATCACTAGTGTGTCATCTAGAGAACAGCTCAGTGTCAAGTGCTGGCCAAAGTTGCTGGTATAATAATAATCACTAGTGTGTCATCTAGAGAACAGCTCAGTGTCAAGTGCTGGCCAAAGTTGCTGGTATAATAATAATCACTAGTGTGTCATCTAGAGAACAGCTCAGTGTCAAGTGCTGGCCAAAGTTGCTGGTGCGACCCTGCTCTCTCCTTTTATACATATCTCCTTATAAGTATTTTTATTTATTGATCTATCAGTGGTTCTGGTCATTATAAAAAAAGGGGGGGGGGATTTTATAAAGAATATTTTGACATTTAAAAACCCCCCAAAAATTTTTGATAAGTTTTTATTATTTTTACTATTTTTGATATTAACATTTTATATCTTGTAACTTTCAATCGCTCATGGGACAATACACATTTACAAATAAACATTAAGCAGCAATGTAACTCTTTTGCAATTTAACAGAAAAATGAAAACATTACTCCCCCTACCGACCCTTCCCTCCACCCCCCACCCCCCACAAAAAATGTAATAAAATAAACAAACTTTTAAAACAATTTTATTGACTATTGTTGTCGTTTTTCTCTATTTGGCATGTTAGACTTTTGATGACATCAGATTTATCAGGAGGAAAAGTGTATATCTAATCACTAAAAATGTTCCATATTTATTTCTATTGATATTCGCTATATATGGTTTTGATGTTTCTTTTAACAAGAGTGGCCCATAAAGAATTTGTTGAGATTTTTTTTTTTTTTAGTATTATAATATTTTTATTTGGGACAAAGTGTTGATGTTTGAAAACATGAATTTACTATTTTTCTATCTTCTGTATCTTTTTTTGATATTGTTTTTTCCTTTATAAATGGTATATGTGCATGGTATATGTACATGGTATATGTACATGGTATATGTACATGTTATATGTAAATCATGGTATATGCATCCTATATTGTTCATGTAGTCTCTAATTTAAAAAAGAAAATAACAAAAAACCCTTCTTTTTCGTTTTTCTCAACTTCGCGTTTTTTCAGATTTTTTTGGAATTCCAAAAGTATCAAGAGAAAAAGTTTTATAGCTACAGGCTTCACACTTTCTATGCTTTTGATCACTCATATTTGCGAAAAAATTACACATCTTTCTCTTATATCCATCCATCGTAAATTTTGAAATATTTTTTTTTTTTACATTTGCTACCTCAAAAATTTGCCAAACATTTATGAGATCAACTTACATGTCATAGTCTCCAATTATTGTAGTGCAAAGAGCTCATGCAATATTTATAGCAATGGTAGTCGCATTGAGTGTGCAAAGTTTCATTATGATATCAACAAAAGGCAAATTTGGACAAGATCAAACTTGATCTCGCCGCCGCTAAACAGGACATCCTAAAAAAATATAACGAGGGAGAGGATGTAGATACACTGTGGTCGACCTTCAAAAATACCTTAACCAACAGCATAGATCAAAATGTCCCATCAGCGACAGAAAAGAATCCATGTTATCTACCATGGCTGAACGCACGGCTCAAGAAGTTGCTGAAGACAAAGAAAAAGACTATTTGAAGAAAGCCCAAACTACCAACAACTGGACCCTGTACTGCCAGTTCCAAAAACATTCTCGTAGCGAACTAAGAAGAGGAGGGTGGCAGAACATAAACGGAGTCATCCAAGAAGGCCCCCAAAACAACAACACAAAACCCTTCTGGCGCTACATTAAATCCAGGAAGCAAGACAAAATCGGCGTAGCCCCCCCCCCACCTCCTACTTGAAAACAGACACTTTGTAGGCGATGTCGAATGCAAAGCAGAAATTCGCCTCAAACAGTTTTAATCCGTCTTCACCAAGATCTCCACCACCGTCCTACCATCCCTAAAACCTTCACCTGGTACAATAGGCCCCCTCCACATAATTGAAACAGGAGTAGCAAAACTTCTCAAAAACCTGAAGCCCCATAAAGCACCCGGACCTGACTGTATCCCGAACATTGTCCTGAAGACCCTGGCTGACAACATTACCCCAACAATGACAAACATTTTCCAAAAGTCGCTTGAGTCCGGCAAACTCCCGCTAGACTGGCTTGATGCAAACATCACTAGTGCCTACAAGAAAGGTGACCGCCATAACCCACCAAACTACCGCCCAATATCAGAGACTTCCGTTCCATGCAAAATCCTAGAACACATCATCTATCGCCACATCATCAACCACCTTGAACACTACAACATTTGGACCAACCTAAATCACGGTTTCCGCTCTGGAGTCTCAACAGAAACTCAATTAATCATCACCACCAATGACCTCCTAGCCTCCTATGACAGAGGTAACCAGGTCGACATGGCAATCCTCGACTTCTCCAAAGCGTTCGATACTGTTCCACACAGCCTTCTTCTACATAAGCTCCACCACCACGGCATTACAGGCAATCTTCACTCCTGGCTCTCAACATTCCTAACACAACGTACCATGCAAGTAGTCGTGGACGGCGTACAATTAGGGAAAGCCACCGTAGACTCAGGAGTTCCACAAAGCATAGTGCTGGGCCTCCGTCTCATTCTCTGTCACATAAACGACCTACCCGATAAAGTAAAATCTCAAGTGCGGCTGTTCGCAGACGACTGTCTTGTCTATAGAGAGATAAATAGCAACAATTACCACAACCACCTCCAAACAGATTTGGAGGGCATTATGAATTTTGCGGAAAAATGGGGCATGAAATTTAATGAAACCAAATGCTACACTAAGACAATCCCAAGAAAAAAAACACCAACTCATATTTACTCACTAAACGAGACAATTCTCCAACAAGTATCCAATAGTCCATACCTTGGAATTCTCTTCTCAAATAACCTAAAATGGTCACCCCATATAAACAAATTTTCAAAAAAAAAGCCAATTCCACCCTAGGTTTCATCCGAAGAAATCTACGCCACTGCCCAACTTCCTGCAAACGAAATGCCTATGCAAGACGTGGACACGATGGAGCAAATTCAAAGTAATGCGGTGCGTTTTATCGCTCGAGACTACAAATCCACCCCCCCCCCCTGGCTTCGTCACTGGCCTCTTAAGAAGATTTTACATCCCACCTTTATAGAAAGACGAGAGGGACTCCGCCTGCTATTCTTATATAAAGTGATCAACGGACTGGTGCCGGCCATCCCAGCAGGCACGTACCTCACCCCACAGCAGCTGGGTAGACTGATCAGAGCAAAACGCTCACTGAACACTGACTTCACTACTGACATTCCCATAAACAATTAAACAATTACACTAGACACTATAGCAAATGCTTCAAAGTGCCTCAGTGAAACACAGTGCAGTATCAACAATCTTTCTTCCCACGCACAATAATAGCATGAAACAACCTGAACAATGCGACTGTGAACTCGACATCGGTCGAAAGTTTCAAGGTTGCCCTGGCATCAACTAGGAGCTGTTAGAATAGCAACATCATTTCCCCAACTGTTGCAAAGATCCCAGTACATGGATGCAGCAACGAAACATTACCAGAACTAGAATTATTTATTTTCAATAAATTTTGCGTGACTGTAAAAATTTGTATGTAATTATCTTTATTTTGTTATAAAATTTAAACCAATTTTTAAAAAAATAAACTGCTATGTTTTTCTTTGGTCTGTCTATTGGTGTTTTTTCTAAAATTATTATTTTTAATGTAAGAAATATATAACCTTTTCCTATGTAAAAAAGCACTTTTAGTTGGCATGATATATATATATATATATATATATATATATATATATATATATACATTTTAAAATATTAATTTTGAATTCAATTAAAGCCAAGAACGGTCAACAGCTTAAGTTCTCGACAGTCTCTATCAAATTAATCCTTGTATTATGTCGACGTAATTTGCCAAAAGTCGTTGAAGTTTCATGGGCTGAAAGGGTTGAGAAACGTTCTCTCTTTCTCTCCATGTCTCTCCCTCTCTCCCCTCCCTCTCTCTCTCTCTCTCCTCCCCCTCTCTCTCTCCCCCTCCATCTCTCTCCCCCTCCCTCTCTCTCTCTCTCTTCCTCTCCACGTCTCTTCCTCTCTCTTTATCTATATACCTATCTCGCTCCCCATCTCCCTCTCTCATTCTCTCTCTCTCTCTCGATCCCTCAACGTCCCATCTCTCACTATAGCCCTCTGTCTCTTTATCTAAACTCTCCATCATGAAAAAAAAAAAATTATCAACAATTCAATACTGGTCGTAAGTTGTTTTTTTTTTCAATATTTTATTTTAAAATGTTGTATAAAAATATAATGCTAATGTTTACCCTTGAAATAAGACCCAGGCTCCTGAACAAATAATGTTACCAAACAATTGCTGTATTCAAAATAATACATATGCTACACAGCTTCTTTGTTTTAATAACAAAACATAATATCGATTATTAGTCGAATGAATGCACATGTTGAATTCGCTGTGAGTTCCAATATGGCTTATTAACCAAACAAAATGTCTGACAGAACCGATAACATAATCGTAAAAATTGATCCACAATCAGGTAGAAACGTGTTATATACAGCTGATATTCTTTGTTGAGATCCCTCAGGGCATGAATCCTTAAGTTAAACCATCAGATTCAAACCTAACTCTCCCTTCTCCCAAACTTAGTGCGTAAATACAGGTAGGGATAAGTCAGCGGTTCTCAATATGTGGGTCGCGACTCTTTGTTTGGGGGGGGGGGTCGAATTACCAGGTCACAGGGGTTGCCTAAGACCTTTGAAAACCACATATACGCTACAGGTATGAAGTATAAAAAAAAAATTGTTTGGTTGGGTCACCACAACAAAAGAAAGTGTATTAGAGGGTCGCGGCATTAGGAAGGTTGAGAACCACTGGGATAAGTCTTTATAAAATTTAAATGTTTAGAAATAATTTGCATTCACTAGTTAAACCTAGCGATGACAACGCAGTTGTGGGGTTACGCAGCTAAGTTGAGCTTCTGTGGCATGTTGAGTATACCATATGGACGTAGATGGTAGATGAAAAACTCCAGGTCGTACATTTTACTCGGGGTAACGTAGTGGAAGCTGATGGTGTAGTCGCTCATATTTTCAGCACCCTGGCGTGAGCGGAAAATAAAGGAAAAGTCAAAAAAAAAAATTATAAAACTCCAAAGACTTGAATACATTCTTAAAGAAATTGGAAAATAAAATCATTCTTAATTAAACCAACTTCAACACAGCATACGAATTATGAAATCTTTGTAGGAAAATAAAATAAATAAAATTTGAGAAGAAAATGGACCAAACAGTGTGCTGGAGGTAGTGGGGAGAGGGGGGGAAAGACTTTGACATTAAGGGGGACTATTTGCGTGACCACTTTTGCAATCACGTGTACTGACTGAACTTTGTGCCCGACATTGACCTGATTGTCCTGGGTTGTTTTCATCTTTACCATTTAGACTTGGTGACCCACAGTGACATGGTTGTCATGTGTTGTCATGTTGACCGACTAGACTTGGTAGTCCACAGTGACATGGTTGTCCTGTGTTGTCATGTTGACTGACTAGACTTGATGACCCACAGTGACATGGTTATCCTGTATTGTCATGTTGTCCGACTGGACTTGGTGACCCACAGTGACCTGGTTGTCCTGTGTTTTCTTGTTGACCGACTAGATTTGGTAACCCACAGGGACCTGGTTGTCCTGAGTTGTCATGTTGACCGACGGGACTTGGTGACCCACAGTGACCTGATTGCCCTGTGTTCTCATGTTGATCGGCTGGATATGGTGAGTTTGTTCACGAAATGCCTAAGCTTAAATTTGTATAAATTGGTTGGATAGCTGCAGTGAGTGGTCATGTTATGTGGTGTATAAAAAGAATTTAGGTTGGAGAATAAAGTTGGTTATTTTAAAAACCATCACCTTGATTATTCATAATATATTCTATTAAAATATTTTTTTTTAAATGTTCATAAAATTTGTACAAATAAAACATATTTTGCAAATTCATCTTTCAATTTGCCGCAGGTCAAATGGAAACTTTACCTTATACATAAGTCAAACATGATATTTATTCTAAATTGATGCCTACTTCAGTTCACCGAGAACATGAAACAGGAGTACATCTTCTCAAAATGAATATTATTTTTCATCGACACAATGTCTTTAAAAAAAATAATTAAATTGTAATAACAGTACCCTGTCCGATCAATTTCTTCTTCTTCTATATATTAAGGTCTCACCATCAATGTATTGATCATTCTGGATCCTACGCTTAATACAACTCTAGAATATATAGACTTGTGTTTTCGTCCTGCGAAGTCTACACCATCGTCACATTGTGACGGAAAGATGACAGAAAATAAAAATTATATTTAAAAAAAATATAAACCTAATCTTTTAGACAACAGTTTAATCAAATGACTTGCTCGCAGTCGAAGCCGCAAGCCCAAAACTAACATCATCAGGAAACCCTGCCTCCCAAAGAAATGTATTGATATGCTTACCGCTCGTCCGTTTTCAACATCAAAGTCTTTCATTGAGCCCGGTAATTTGTTTCCGATGTAGGTCTCCGGCGTCAGACAGTGAAACCTCGTCCGGTTCAGTGCGTCTAAACTTGGCTTTAGGACGACCCCGAGATTCTGAAGGCACCTGCCCATCTCCACGTCTTCGTGGCCGGTGTTATTTCTACACATTGAAGGATTTTCAAATCCTCTCTGCCCGTACCGGGTTAGGGCCTCTTTGCTGATGACGTAGCCCGCCCCACCGCTGGCGTAGCCCTGTTTCAGATAAGGCTTGAAGCGCTGTCCAAAGTACAACGGTTTATTTGGGTCCTCGCCGGATAGGAAGTAGCGGAGGTTCTCCATGATGACGTAGGTGTCGTCGTCTGCTTTCAGGAACCAGTCGGCGTCACCGAGATGGTGGTCGTAAAGATATTTGAAGGCCTGTTCGGGGAGGGAAGGAAAGGGTAATAGGAAACATGTTTTAAAAAAATTATTAAGATATTGATAAATAAGTATATATATATATATATCAGAGAGCTGCACTGGCTGACGGTCCGTTCTCGCATAGAGTACAAAATCGCAACTTTGTGCTACCGCTGCTTACATGGCCTGGCGCCGTCCTATCTAAAAGAGTTGCTGATGCCTTATGTACCCACTAGACAACTCCGCTCTTCCGACAGTGGCAAACTCTTGACACCACATGTTCGCGTTGAGACTTGCGGAAAGCACACTTTCGCATTTATTGGTCCAACAATTTGGAACGCCCTTCCAGTCGATCTCAGAAACAATCAGACACTGGAGTCCTTTAAAACCGATTTGAAGACACATTTATTTCGCAAACACCTTCTGAGATGATTGTCTACCATATTTTCCATTTAATGCACATTAGCTGTGTTGCTCAGGGTTGAAATGGCTAGAAAGACTTTGACATTGAATGCTTGTAATTAGTTTTTGTAGTGTTGCGTTTGTTCTAATTGTGGTAAATTATAGGGTTTTTTTTGTTTTTGTTTTTTCCTTTTTTTTTTTCATCTTGTACCGCACTTAGAGCCTTTGGGGATGAAGCGTGTTTTTGAAATACACTTTATTATTATTATTATATATATATATATATATATATATATATAACATATATACATTTAATTATATATATGTATAGTGTTCAGTTTTAATATGTAATAATTAAAAGAACTTTGACATTTTAAATGAAAATAAATATATATTTACTTAATTCATAGTGCAATAAAATTTATACGACTAACAGATCTATACGATTACTTGAATGTTTAGGGGGTTTTTTTTCAAATTAAAAATTTATGGTTTTATTATATACGCTGATTGCGTTATACGCTTGTAATTAAGGGCATTTAGATTCATTTAAGAAATAAAACCCTGTTCAAAAGTATATTGCTTATTGGAAAAGAAATTGATGTGAATAGATTTCTGGACATCTTAAAATGAAATAATATTTATAAGGGGCATGGAAACTGAAATCAGTAACTTTATTTAATCTAGCACAAATGTATATACCACTGCAATATATATTTATATATATAATTTTAAAAAAATAATTTTTAAGTTAAATTTGTTTTTTGTGCTTTTCTTAATATAAATTTATTTTAATAGTTTAAAGTTCTCTACATTTCATTTTAAACTAAATTTCAAATACTTATTCGCCACATAATTAAGCTTGTCAAATGTTGGATTTTACGCACATATAAATTACGAGAGTACACGAACAATTTTAAATCGCCACTGAACCAAAATACACCTTATCTTTTATCACGGTAAAAAATGTTTATTTTAAATATCAACTTTTTTTAGGGGAGGCTACTAGTATTATTCCGTTCACCTTCATTGTTTTAGTAGTCAGGTGTTGCCTCCCTTCTTTGGCGTTCACTCCCACGGTGGGAAAGCTGTCGTTCGTCTGCGAGCTGATGAACACGACCACATTACATCTCTTGGTCCAAGTGTTCTTCACATGAATCGTCTTCCTACAAATGAAAATAATAGGATCAGAAGAGATAAGATAAGATAGGATTCTTTCACCGCTCCAAATGAGTGGAAATGTGTTTTGATTATAACATTCATCTTCAGCATTTTGATAACCATTCTGATAAAGAAAGCACATTTTAAAAAGAATAACAATTTGTTAAGAAAAAAAAAATTATAATGAAAAGAAATTTTAAAAAACAACAACACAATCCTTAGACATGAATATTTCTCAAATGCCAAAAAAAAAAAAAAAAAAAAAATTTTGGAGGGGGGGGGGGGGGGAGGAATCTTTCCATCTAATTAAATAACTTGTTATGACCATTCATCCAATAAATTTCCTCTTTACTATACTTTACGTCATGCCAAGCAAGTTCGAGATCAAATCATGTCCCCATCAGTCCTATACTTTACGTCATGACAAGAATGTTTAAGATCTACTCATGTCCCCATCATTACCACCCTTTACGTCATTAAAATAATGTTTAAGATCCAATCAAGCCGTATTATACATTACAGAGACTTTCAAGATCAAATCATGTCCCCATCAGTACTACACTTTTCATCATTACAAGAATGTTATAGATTTAAGTCTTAAATATACCCCCCCCTCCCTAAATTGTATCCTTTCTCAAGGGGAATCCTAAAATGTTACATGCCCCCATTTGCCTTCAGGTTAATCCGAAAGTGAGTCGTCCGCATTCAAATAACTTCCGGAACAAATCCTAATTGAAACTTCGCCCTCTGATGAAAACCCCGGTAATGGCTGGTGACTCGTTCTTCTTTCAGAGAACTGCGTGACACCAGGAACTTGCATTGTTGGATTGGCTTAAACCTGATCAATACGTATTTATTATCCACCGCACACAATCTATGTTTAAATAAACTTCTCCTTGGAGTGTTAAACAGCTTAACTTTAGTTTTGGGGTGGGTGACGTCTTTGGATCATTTTTTTTTTTTTTTAATGTAGAACGTATATTTTGTCTAGTATAACTTTTAGGAAAACAAAAACTAGCGGATCTTATAGAAGAGATGCAAACCGTTATTTAATAAGAATGTTCTGCCATCCCACCGGGCACTGTGCTGCATGTCGCCCCAAGACCAATACGTGTCGGGAAGCAGATGGTCACCGCTTTGGGTACCAATAGGAACACTTAGAAGACTCAGATATTTACATTTTTACTAATTATGGCGATGTTTGAATAAATTTAACATAGAAAAATGTATAAACGTTTGATTTACCCTTAACGTGTACACAAGCTTGCTCTTTGGTGGGTTATTTTTTTTTTTGTGTGTGACTTTCTTTAAATTGCGTTATTATTATAATTATTTTTGATGATATCAATCAAGAGTGTTTTAAAATTTTGAAAGGGAGAGAAGACGTGTAATGGTCTGTCATCCCCCCCCCCCACGACTTTCCCCCCCAAACTTTCGCATTCCTTGATCTTGAAAACATTTACAGTTTCTCTGTACGATGATTACGTAAAAAACTGTACAGTTTTTTAAAATTTTGAAAGGGAGAGAAGACGTGTAATGGTCTGTCATCCCCCCCCCCCCACGACTTTCCCCCCCAAACTTTCGCATTCCTTGATCTTGAAAACATTTACAGTTTCTCTGTACGATGATTACGTAAAAAACTGTACAGTTTGTTTATTTGTTTTTTTTTTAAATCTTTTCTTTATTTTCTGTATACAAAAAAAAATAAAAAAATTATTATCGTTTCCTGTTTCAATCATCATGCAAACTCAAACTTTTGAATTGGCTTTGGTTTAGGAAATTGGAATGTCTAGAAAAAAAAATGATGTCTAAAAGCGGGGTTGCATGTATATATATACACATATTTATATATAAATAATGGTGTATAGGTTAGTAAGTATTGGCTTACTTGTCTAAGTTCTGGGGAGACGTCAAGATCCAGCATGCAATTCGAACAGTTTTGAAAAGCTGTTTGGCGATGGCATCGTTATCTGACGAAAAGACAACGCGCTTGATCATATTAAATTCCCGATGATAGAAATCAGCGGCTGTCCAACTTGACCAATATGAACCACGAGCAGATGTTCCACGTTGATAAAATGAGTCATGACACTTAACACACGACAATGGTGAACCTTACAAAATTTGTGCGTAAAATGACGTACACATAGTCTATACTTTTTTTTTTCTCATACGCGGTGGGCACCAACACATACCTTGATGAAACTGGCTGTCGTTGGCGCTCTGCAGCCGCATGTGAATAAGTTCTTTTTCCATCTTTCTTAACCTATCATCGCTCTGTGTGTTTGGTTTGCAGGCTGTCTTAAAGAAAAAAAAGGACAAGAAGACGATTAGGGCATAGTTCTGATATAATACTTTTAAATTTTTTTTTGAAAAGATGATTTTAAAAAAGGATTTATTAAATCTAATTCATTCAAAAGCATAAGTGTTTAATGCACTAATTCAATAAATGAGAAAATTATGCAAAGCACCTAAAAACAATCTTGAATTCGAGAGTAAATAACGCTGTTAAAGCAGAAAAGATTTTTTTTAAAAAGCTCAGAAATTTTCAGACATTTAAATGCATATATTCACTTTTAAAATGTATTGATTTTTAGCCACTTCAGTAAAATTCTGTATTAAAAAGTTATTACTTTTTTTTGCAAAAACAAAACTTCATTGACGGATGATGGGTTTAATTTGTAAATGTTTAGTTGGAGATAATCCTAAATGTCAACCACCAATATCCAGACAACAAAAATTGTTTTTAGGTGTTTAAAAAAATGTTGTTTAACAATGAATGATCTTTTTTTTTTTGTTTTTTTACAATGCATGCATCAAAGATTTTCAAATAATTATTATAAGTTCAATATAAATATAATGTCCTTTTAATGGTCGGATTCAGATTTAAAAAAACGAACATAAACAAACATTTGAGGTAAGTTACCTCGTCTTTTATCTGTTCTTAAACGGTTCAGAGGATACACTATTTGACTGAAAACAACGAAAGCTGACTCAATGCAGCATATTACAAAAACTTGATTCAATGCCACAAATATTTATCTTCAAATCAATGAAATTTGAATAAATGCAATATATATATATATTTAAACGTACGTATATATATGCACAATGTACCTCAAATACAACAAAAATTGCTCCGAAAGCAACAACTGACAATTTCTGACCATTCTGATAACATTAAACTTACATTATCCGTGTTGTTCCAGTCCTCGGGTTTAATGTTCCGTAAGTAGAAGTCTTTGAACGTGCTGGTGACGTTGAAAACCTGGATTATCATCGTCATGCTCAGGCCAAAGCACAAGCCCAGACAAAAATTTAGTTGGACCATCGTCGCCTCTGAGGATGACAAACACATGAAAGGCTAGATCGAATCCAAACTTGTTTTTTTTTCTTGTGTGTGTGTATAATTCTATTAAATTATTCTTGCTGGTAGCTAGGCTTATTTTAAAATAATAATAATAATAATTCTTATCATCATCATCATCATCGCCTGTCGTCCCGTCTGGGATTTAGGCAACAAAGGCTCTCCAGACATCCCAGTCTTGGGCCATTCTCTCCAGCTGTCCCCAGTTATGCCAAATCATTTTATATTATTATTTTCTTATTATAATTCGATACACTATATTATAGTTGTTTTTTTTTTTTTTGTTATTTCGAAGCGTCAAACATTGCATTTAGTTTCAATTTTGTTGTGTGACACTTCCGGGGTGAATCGTGTATCTGTTTATGTGTTCATCGCATCTGAAGGTGACAAGGGTTTCAACCTTAAGTAGTAGCCTTGACCTTGAATCTGTCAGTCTCACTTCTCTCGTCCTTGCCTACGTGTTCCAATGGCAAGACTTAGTCAAGACGACTGGAGGTAGACCTGGCCGCAGTGGATGACCAGCGGTGAATCGTACGTGTTACCACTGTGTTCATTATGCGTCCAACGTCGCAGCAGTTCTCAGAACTGTCATGTTGTCACACATCAACGGGACTCCGTTGTAGTTCGCTTATAATACATATATATATATATATATATATATATATATATATATAAGACAGACTTAAATTTAGCTACTTAATATTATTTTCTTTTAATGATACGATGTTAATGGCAAACTCAAATTTGCCTTAGATGAATTCATTTTCAACCGCGCCATAATCCGATCGGGTTTTTATACAATATAGTATTTACATAATAATCTCTAAAGAACCACTTTCTAACATATTCGTGTCGTGATTGGATGTACTTTGTCATAAGTGATGAGGTGTTCGTAATCATGAAGGATTTGGAAAATGTTTTTGATGGATCTGTTCTTGACATTGTGAAGGGTGGAAGAAGAAATTTTCAAGTTATGGGGAACAAACTGGATCCGGAGATTCAAGTTCGTTTCTTTACGCTTATGAGCAATACACATTTTTTAAAAGATCTCAATTTTGGGTTGCGGGTAATATCGGCCAGGAAAATTTAACTTACGTTTTTATTTGTATGCACAAAATGAACGTCTTTTCTTTGCGCAGAGCGTAAGATATCTTTCCTCCTTAAATGATAACGTTGGGTTGAGAGTTAATTTACGTCCAAACGCTGGTAAACGTATCATTGAATACTTATTTCAAGAATAAGATTGGCAAAACTTACCAATGAAAAAGTGCCATTTTATTTCTTTTTTTGGGCTACGGCTAGGTCGAGTGTGAACGTTCGATTAAGTTTTTTTTGTTTAATTAATGCACACAAATGAACTTGTTTTCTGTGATCCAAAAATCAACTCCTCTAGTGAAAATAGTAACTTAATTAGTTATCATTTAGATTTGTTAACCTCTGGTGTAGGGGGGGCACACTGGTAAATTCTTACCTACAAGGAGGAAGAATGATTTTTTTAAAAATCTTGCTGTTCTAACTTAAAGAGAGAGAATTCCTCCTCTGATCGAACTGATTTTATGTAGGACGTGATGAAGTGGGGTTGAGGATGTATCATCCCAGAAATTTTTTTTTAGTTTTACAACAGCATTTTTCTTGAAGTCAAACATGTTTAGTATCTCTGATGTTACTAGCTTTATTGATCAGTTTTATTTAATCAGCGCTTGAGGTCAGACGAAAAAACTCGCCCACCAGCATGTCATACTGTAGTTTAGTAGGCTACAATTGTTTGCACTGTACACATAGTTTATAACCTGATTGTTTACGCCAAAATTATTAAATAATCACCCACAGACCGGGGTGGGCAATCTTTATCTCATAAAGCTACAAGTGTGGGGAAGGAAAAGTAAAATTCGCCACACTACATTTAAATCATGAAAACACTTTATATTAAATAAAATTGAACGAAGAAATAAGCGTTGTAATCATATGTTAACTAAAATTAAATGTGAAATTTGAGATTTCTTTTACTCAACAAGCTGCAAAAACTTTTGGTTCCATTTATCTACTCTTTACTCATAAGGCACAGTTCATCCATTCCAAGTATTTAGATGGGGCCTCCCTTTCAAAGATAACTTTGGCAAAAGTTATGCCCATTCTTTTTAAAGGGAAGGGTGAGGGTGGGATTTTAAAAAAATGGCCAACGTGAAATCTCTGGAATTTGAAACTATTTTAATGAGAACACTTTTACACGTTATATAACCCCTTTCGTTTTCAGTAATAATTATGTCATTATTTTTTTTTTGAAAAATGAAATTTACAATATTTGACACTGGGACCCTCAATCAATTTACTACTTTCAAAGAATACCTTTTTTTCTATATGGATTTGATAGCGCTCGTCTTTGAAAAAATTTGAATACGACAACCTCTTAAGTGATACATGATATGGTTGTCTCATGGAACCCCAGCTGGGTCCCTCAGAGGGTTTATAGCTTTCATACATCACTTTTAATTATATACATATATTTTGTACACATAAAGTTGAATTATGAGATTTTGCCTTTATTTTTGTTCTTAGTTATGGACTAAACAAACTATTAGACTGAGTGAGCCGAAACTTTCTACAGTTGTTCTAATATTATTTTAGAAGTAACATAGAATTAATTTTTTCTTCTCTTCAAACTCGTGTTCATCCACAAGGGCCTCAATTTATTATAATAAAATTGAATGCTGTGTCCATTAGAACAATTTACAACTATAAGTGTTACCTAGGATATGCATATAAAGGATTAAGAAAGAACCCTTGTCAGGGATAACTTTGACACATTACTTACTGATTTTTTAAAGTTACCTTGCAATATATATATATATTCGATGACGTTTAATAAAGCCGCCTCTTTTTGTTTGTAAGTCATAACTTTAAAAGCATATAGAGCGATTTGAGGCTAGCAAAGATTGCCTTCAATGTTAATTATTATAGAACGGGACATGAATAACATTCACGTGAAATGGATTTCTTTTTCCGGACATGAACCGATCCGGACCAAGCCTCTGATTTACAAAACTGTTATGTCTCGCATGAATAAGGGATTTTGATAGAGTAAAACATGAAATGGCGCCTTTCGAGCTCAACACTCACATGCACTGTTAAAAAAAAATAATCAGATTTCAAACATTTAACATTTATAGAAAGGATTTCGATAGACTCATACCACAAGATAATTTAAATGATAACTTATGGCCCCGGACCGTGAAAGGGCATCTTAGTCAAAAAACAAAATTAACACTGGGGCGCTTCAAATAAAATAAAATTAAAAAAAAAAAAAAAAAAAAAAAAAAAAAAAACCTACATTGAATAGTCATAAATATGATGTAGATATGGCACTTTTTTTAAAAGAGGAAGAATAATATGTGATCGAATACATTGGAGACGTTTGAAGGAAAGAGTAAAACAAGATAACTTTTGCCTATTACTTTTAATGCTGGGGCAACTCCAATAACAAAGGATTCAATTCTTACCAAACTCTGCAAATAATTTTCACTTGCATAGCTTTTAACATTTTAACTATAATATGCAATTTAAAATTATGACTGTTGCACTTCATGGAGCAGTGTCTTCAAACAATTAATATTTTTTAAAGGGTACCATGAAAATATATCTGAACGTTTATTATAAGCCCCCCTTGCTCCGGCAAATAAATTATATATATTTGGGTGCTTGATGCCCGAGCTGTGTATGCTGTGGACTAGAGTTCGATCCCAGCAAAAACCAATATCAAAAAAATAAAACATCAACATTAGCCCCCCCCCCCTCCCGCGGGTGGAGATCGCGAGTTAGCCTTAGATTAGCATCTCACCTGGAAGCAGGAAAACACTGAATTCAAACACGTCAATTGAGTCCCGTAGTCCGTATGATAGTTTTAACAAGTGAACTTTCCGCTAACTCCTGCTACGCTATTCCATCACCGGTTACCCTTATCCGTGGATAAATTAAAAAAAAAAAAACATGATTCGCTGCCTAGGTGTGCAGCCACTGCGACATCCCTCGACTTGTGATCCCAGGCCTTGTGATTCGAGGCCTTGCGATCCAAGGCCTTATGCTTGCGTATGGTTCTTTCGGGAGCCTAATTACAGGCCTCGAAGATGTTCTTCTTGCAAATGTCTCAAATGCTTCAGAATCCAGTTAAAAATATCGGTGAGACTGACTTAGTTTAAATATATATATTTTTTTTAATCTGCCACTTTCGTTGACGCCATGCCCCATTTTAATGGGTAAATAAGCTTATCTCTGACATTTCTTAATCGATTCAAACTGGGACGACTTGTTAACGTTCAGCGGGATGTTTAAATAAAGGATTATGATAAGACACACAAAGTCTGCGATAACTTAAACGACAGGCAAATTAGATCTTTTTTTTTCTTCTAAATTGTTGAATAAAACGCATGGCACGGGGTTTGTATCTAGATTTTTTTATTTTTTTTTTTTTGTATTGGGAAAAACAAGTGGTTCTCAACCTCTTGCTCGTCTGTCAATACCACTGGAGTCTCTTTGGATTTTCAGATAATTGAGTACTTAATTGTTGTTGAGTTTTTAAAATTTAATTTTTGCATGCTCAGTTTCAAATTGTCTTTACACTCTGATTTTACAGCAGCTAGATACTTTGAAACTCTGATCCATAATATGTGTATTAGTCCTTCTACGGCCAACAAATTGTCATTACTCATATTTTTAACATTAAGCATCTCAAAAAGCAAAAAATGAGGGAGAATATTCAAGATATTTTCTAATGGCGCCAGGGTTAATACATTGAAACTCACTGTTTTGTATGCTATTTAACATTAAATGAGAGAGAGAGAGAGAGAGAGAGAGAGAGAGAGAGAGTTATAAGAAGACTACCTGTGGACACCGAGCTCTGTTATAAAAAAGGCGTACAAAAATGTCAAAACTTATATTGAATTAGAAGACGCGTCACTACAATCAGGGCTGGAAGAACATGACTATTTGAAGAGAAGAACATGACTATTTGAAGAGAAGAACATGCCTATTTGAAGAGAAGAACATGCCTATTTGAAGAGAAGAACATGACTATTTGAAGAGAAGAACATGCCTATTTGAAGAGAAGAACATGACTATTTGAAGAGAAGAACATGACTATTTGAAGAGAAGAACATGCCTATTTGAAGAGAAGAACATGGCTATTTGAAGAGAAGAACATGACTATTTGAAGAGAAGAACATGCCTATTTGAAGAGAAGAACATGACTATTTGAAGAGAAAAACAGGCGGATTCAACCATTAAAATCAGAGACCACATAATTTATTTTTTTTTAATATTTTTTTTTTTTAAACAAAATGTGACGTCGTAATTATGACATTCCAATTCCTACAGTCCCTTAAAGATAACTATGAATTTTTTTTTTTAGATGACAAGGGTTATACTATTCATATAAATGACCTATGGTCAGAATTTAGTGTCTCTGACGACGATACGGACATCTAAGGTTCCTCCCCAGAATCGTTATCGTGAACTCTTACTGGTGTGGAAAGGTCAGATCAATGTTACAGAAAAATGTGGTCTTATTTTTTCTGCACATGAAAGGATTTAACCGATCTGGGTCAAGGGCCTCGCACATAAAAAGGGGACTCCTGCGTAGGCAGAAGACATCGGCAACAACATGTGTATCAATATTTTGTTTGGCCTCCGTAAACGTTGAAGATGGAAGACTTCGCGGGTCTTCGGATAATGCATGGGAGGGTCCCTCCAGGGGCTGACGTCGAGCGTCGAGACGGATACACGATTCACAGCTTCCTCCCCTCAAGATGGAAGGATTCGCGGGTCGTCTGATAATACGTGGGAGGGTGCCTGCAGGGGCTGACGTCGTGACTCGAGACGGTAGCACGAGTCACCGGCAGTTCCTATAGAAATTGCAGCAACCCGCAAAAGTGCACGCCAAGTTTATGAACACCCGTACAAGGCGAGGCAATTTTGTGTGTGTGTGGAACATATTCGACACAACTTTACAAGCCTCAAAGACAACTCGGTGAAACCATGGCCGGGGAAGACTCGACTTTAAGCAAGACATGAAGGATAACCCGAAACGGCTTGATGGTTGAAAATTTTGTGCTGTGTTGAATCAAAGAATGATTTATTTTAAACGTTAAAGTATGCACTTTAAAAAGAGAGGCGAGCCCCAGCAATGGAAATGATCTCTTCATGGCTATGGACCGAGCCCTCTCCAAACAAAAGGCACGACATTTTTTTTTAAATTTTTTTTTTCTTCGCAAAAACGTGTCGAACACCCAAAACTGTCCCGTTACACATGCTCTTGTGCCACGATTAGTCCCAACCTCCAACGCTTGTCTCAAAAAAAAAAAAATATTTAACAAGTTCAGAAAAGATAGTTACTTGTTGCCTGCCAGTGTACTGATAAACACCAGGTCGGTATGATCTCCACTAATTATAACCTAGAAATGACAACGGTTCCTGGAAAATCAAAAGACCTCATTATTGACTTTGAAATCCCCCGGCAGTCTGGAATCTAGCAATTCTTTCACGGTTTCGGGTTGACTTAATGAGACCGGCGACGGTTTTATTACCAGCTTGAACTCCCTGCCATTAGTGGTGGAGATATCTTTTATGTAATCTCATATCCAGATGTCAATCATCAATGGCTACCCTTTTTCAGTATCCGTAAAATTATAAATATTCTTTAAATGGCCCGAAATGTCAATTTTTTGTTTTATATAAAGATATATTGTAGGATCTAGCATTTTTAATGAGACAATTTTATAAAAAAAAGGATTGCGTTGTCCCTTTAGTATTGAAATCGTATGGAATCGGTCCTTCAATTCATAGTTAACCGAGAATAATGATATAGAGGTGACTGAGAATGCAAACTTAGCGAGTAATAAAACTAAAACAGGTATGCATCACCGATATACATGTATGTATGTTCCGTATGCGCTCCTATACCACTCATCCGATTGCGACAAACGTTTCATGATTTGTTGTCCGGACACTCGCAAATTAGTCTGAATAATTACAAACATTTTACAATATTTCATTTTGGCGGGGGGGGGGGGGGGGGGGGTGAAATTCCTTTTTTTTTTTTGGGGGGGGGGGGGGGTAGGGGCTAAATTCCTTTTTTTTTCCCTTATATGAGCTATGTAAATATGATTTCTGTAAGCGTTCCCATACCGAAGATCCGATTGCGATAAAATTGTTGGTTAGATCCTGTGCCCAAGTCCGTAAAGGTTTCTAAATTAGTAAAAGAAATTCACATTCTTCCGTTTAGAGCCGGGTGCCCCTTATTTCTTTTGTGTGTGTCTTAAATGAGCTATACCAAATATAATTCAATTAGAGCTAATGCATGGGTGGATGAAGTTTTAATGAAATACAAACAGCGACTTTCAGTTCGTTTTCAACATAATTAGTAGGTGTCTTAAATATTACCACCATTTTACAATGTTCAGTTTAGGGCCGGGGGTCCTAAGGTGTTTTTTGTTTTTGTTTTTTTTTTTAATTCTGTGAGCTATATAAAAATATTTTCAAACAGAATTACTGCATGGGTGGATCAATAGCTACAAGTGTGTGGACTAAATTTTTAATATCCATGATTCTCCAATGGACAGCTGTATGTGGCCTGCCCACGCATCATAAAAACATCTAATTTATTCGTGTAGGCAACAGACGGAAAAACAAAATATTTTGTCTATAAAGAAGTACTTGCAAATTATTGGAAAACAAACACTTTCTTTCTTTGAGTGGCATTGCGAAGCATGCCGAGTACTCGCTAGTTTACAACAAAATTAAACATTATAATATTGTGATGGTATGTTTCATTTTTATTTTTTAATGCATTTTTATTTTTTTTTATAAAAAGACAATCCACGAATTGTTCACATGTCTTCATGAAAGAAGAAATACAATCGTAGATATATTGCCTTTTATAAATGTCCATCAGTTTGAAAAGAAAATGTAAATGCAATGAAATCATTCATTTCCCGTGACTTTTATTCTTGTTTTTTTTTTCTAAACAAATTACAAATTGAGTTATCTAAACATAAAAACACTATAAATACTGCATTATTTACTTTCATCACAGTCTTATTATGTCGTCGTTGATGTAAATTTAAAAAAAAGAAAATCAACTTACCGTCAACTACGTTAATTATGTCACACACACTCACACAACAGCTTTAAAACGAGAAAATCACACAAGTCAGATGTTATTGGACGTCATGTTCATTTCTTTGGCTTCGGTCTCAAACGTGGCCCGTCAAAGGGTCTCATCCCCCCCCAAAAAAAAACAACATATGACAACATGGTGGCGGCTTTTCTAAAAATCCACTAACTTTATTTCATCAGCTCCAAGTGTTAAAGCACACTGTTTTAAACTGTTTGATCAACTGTGGATAGATTCTAACCTTGTTGACCGTACATTTTTTTTTTATGAACTTGGATAATGAAAAAAAAATTAGAGCCATTGGCTTGCCTCAGTTGAGACGGTCACGGCCCAATAAATGCTTTGTGTGACTTCTAGTGGAACAGCCCCACCGTGAAGAGGTTCTCAGCTTATGTCGTGCAGGACAGCTCCGGGCTGAAGTAGTTCTTAGCTTATTTCATTTTGAACAACCCCCGGATTAGAGTAGTTCTCAGGTTACAACATTTAGGACCTCGACAGTCTAGATTAATCATTTCTTTATTTGAAGTGGGACAGTACAGGTCTTAGCTTTTTTCATTTGGGACATCACCTCCCCCCCCCCCGGCCTAGTGTAGTTTTAAGCTTGCCTTGCTTCAAGTGGGACACCCAGGCCTAAAGTAGTCCTTAGCTTACTTGAAGTGCTACAGCCCCGGACTAGAGTAGTTGTTAGCCTACCTCAGTTTGGACATCTCAGGCCGAGAGTGGGTCTCTGCTTTCTTAATAGGGAAGCCCCCAGTCTAAAAGGGTAAGGGGGGGGGCAGTTAGGCATGTAGTCAATTTCAATTAACTTATTTCTTTTGAGCAATATATTGGCCAATATACTCGGTGTGGCCCGTGGTAGTATTCGCAAAAAGCACAAGTTACACAGTCTTTTAGACATCTAACTTGAGGCACCTGTAAAAATACGTTTCTAAATAAAAATGAAAATAGATTTTCTTTTCCTAAAGAACACTTTTATAAATTACGACACCGAAGAATCCCGATCTCCAGTGTGATTCCTACACTGTTGGGATCCTATTCCACAGCACGGGATTTAACTACCGATCCCGTTGGATCATTAACCCGGCTAGATCCTGATTTAATCTCGAAATTAATGGGATCCCGGTCCCCATGGCACACGCCCCCAGTAGGATCCGATCCCTCTGGGATACCATTCTCGATCTGGGTGAGATCCCGGTCCCTGTCAAATCCTGTTCCTCGCCTGTGATCCCATTTCCCGATGAGTTCCCGCACCCAGTACTATACAATTTCCCGGTGGGATCCCGTCCCCGGTATTATCTGTTACCTGGAGGGATTATGAAGAGTACCTTGATCCTCATTGGCCAAGCTCTACCAATACGTTTAGAAACATACACTGTTACATATAAGCCTTTAACTTCATTTATTTATATAACTTAGGCCATGGGCGCCCGCGGGGGGGGGGGGGCAAGGGGCCGTGCCCCCCCCCCCCCCTGGGTTGATTGGATAAAAAAAAATTTAGAAAAATAAAAAAAAAAAAGGTTTTAAAGAAAAGAGAAAAAAAAGAGAAAGTAATTTTGCCCCCCCCCCCTGGAAAGTTAATCGGTTTTTGCCCCCCCCCCCCCCAAGAAAGTTTTCTGCGGGCGCCCATGGCTTTGGCCAACATAAGGGAAAATGATTTGGAAACTTTCGAAATTATCTTTAAATATCACTTCATAATATTAGTACACTCATTGAAAGTTACTGAAATATTATAAACATAATAATGACATTGGTATAATCCTGAAATGGTTATAGACGTAAATTGAAGTTTGTAAAATAATGTAGAAAATGCATGAAGCTTGTAAAATGGTGATTCTCCATACGGAGAAATTTAACAGAAATGAATAGAAATCTCTAGAACTAAATGAACATTTCCCTAAGAATTTAGAGCCCAACAGTTATAATATGTTCCAACGGAACGATAGGGAACGTTCTGTAAAATCCTATATTTAATTTAATAACATCCCATCCTCCCCCCACACAAACACAGACACACACAGACACACCTATAACACATGACTGTTTTAAGTGATCGCATTTTGCTTGCGAAAAAAATCTTCATAACAATAACTTTTTTTTTCACTTAAGTTAAAAGATAGCTTTTTTAGTTATGCCCGAGTTGGGGGTGGGGAAGGGGGAGGGGGGGGGCTATAAAAATTCGTTGATAAACATATGCAAGATCCATTAATCCATGTAGTAGCCAATGCTTGTAATTATATTCATGTAGCTCATATAAGAATAAAATATGTCCCTACCCCTCGAATTGACAGGGAATATTCCTTAAAATTTACAACCCGCAACCCCCCCCCCCCCCCCATGTATATATGTACCATGGATATATAGGTTTACTGTTGATATATTTTTGTTTTGTTTAAGAGAGTCATAATTGACCATTGTGAAAACGTGAGGCCCCCTGAGAAAATCTTACTTCATATCATCTCCCTCCCCCCCCCAACTCCATTAAAAAAATGTAACGCTTCATAAAGTTGACTCTGTTAACATATCATTTAAGAAAAGGCCTCATTCAAGAGTTGAATTAAAATAAAATATTTAAAAAAAAACCCGATGTCACCAGTCGACCTGTTGTGAAAGACCCCAATGTGCAAAAACACGTGGTAGACGGACTTAACACATCGGTGCTGGTATTGAATAGGTAACCATTCTTTTCATGAACTCGGATAGGGGGAACAAAATTGGTGGAGTGCAATTCCTCACTAATTCAACCCACCAACCCCCCCCCCACACCTTATGGCTTGTGTGTGTGTGAAAAAGGGGGGGGGGGGAGTGGGGGGAAAGAGGAAACTGCAGGAACCGGTTTTTGGTTCATGACTCCCTGGAAATGAATGGCGTTGAAGGGTTACGCTTCAGAACTCACATGTGAACCGTGACACATTGGAGCTTTTCAGGTTGGTTTTTTTTTTTTCAAAAGAGGCCGCAAACTAGTAAGTCTTTGGGCCATAAGTAAACGCCTCAATATTTGCAGCCCTGTGATGAGAAAAAAAAACCTTGGGGCGGGGTGGGGGTTGGAGGGGGGTGATTGGAACACGGTTACATTCATTTCAATCAGATGCTATTTATAGCTTTTAAAAATAACGAGGTATGCAGACATGTCAGAGAAGGCTGAAATGCTTTAGGTTAGTAAGCGTACAAAATGCAGAAGAACCGAAATTCTTGTGTGTACAAAATTTATAAGGCTTACACAAAAATACACACGCCATTGTAGAAATATTTAAGGAATAATTCCCATGATGGGTTGTTGAGACAAAGATAAGTAGAATGGTTTAAGTATTGTTTAATTGTTCCACCCATCTCACCCAAGGACAAGACGGAAAATGTCTTCGTATCTTGAGAACCAAGAAAATATTGTATCATGATGGCTCGCGATGCTTCGTCTTGTCTACGTCTGCTGTGTGTAACCACAACGAAGCCCGTGTGTCATTCAAATCTAGTATTCGCGCCGCTGTGGTCTCTCGCACGTTCAAATGTGTGCATCAACTTGATGCGCAGTAAAGTGAAAAAAAACAAAAAAAACAAACAACTTAGTACGCCTTTGGATCATCGTGAAAGGCGCCTCCTTGAGAGAAAAGCGGGACTCGGGCACAGCGCCGAGAGTCTTACGATTTTAGTGAACCACTCGACGATACCGTTGCTCAAAACATAACTGAAAAATTAAATTTTATCCAAAGATGTATAGCTTCCACCATAAATGGTTAGGAATAAGCCAGGTCAGTGCCCGGGTATTTTGTTAAATTACCCGGCGGTTTTAAGTCCGGGTATTATACTATTAGGTTATTCTCTCATTTGCTTAGGTGTTGTTACAAAACTTTGTTACAAAACTATGATGTGTTGTAATTAATTAATGTACTGACCCAATTGTTAAAAGTATGGGTGTTTGCAATGTTTAATGTTTGTATTAACAAACAAAGGTCCCTTTCCTCTACGTTAGATTAGTACTGCTATTATGGTTATGTCTAGGGTACGATTAATTTCCTGATGAAGTATTCTACACTAATCCTACTTCACACTCACTCTATCATTCAAGGAAAACTCTCACTAGCTCTCACTTGCAAGTCTATTAATACTTAAACTATACTAATAACACAAGAGTGGTTCAGCCCACAAATAAATATTTAATTATA